TTTTGTAGGGGACAAATCTGTTGAATTGCATAGTAATTGAAGAGTATTTGTGTACCTGTTTTGGAAACTTGTTATAAGAAGATGCAACTTGGACACCCAGTAGCTTGAACACAAGAACAGGGCAATTTTTTGGTCTTCTATCCCATTCTGGGGAATAGAGAAATTTCAGATAACAACTGCTTAAATGGGTCTAGTGCGAATCCCTTAAACAGACCCACCTTCCATATTTTTAGCCTATAAAATAATCTGCCGTGTTTATCACGCTACTACTTCTTCCCTCAATTTTCTCTTGATACTCAAGCTCACAAAGAATTTCCACAAAGTTGAGTGGACAATTCTCAACCCATGACAAGGTAACTTACCTTTACTGTTGCTTCTATATCACTTTATATATCATAATATTTATTAGCTTCTCCAACTACATCCATTGACATATAATCTAGTGAGTTCAGTGTCCATTTTATTCTAGCTTTCTATGCAAAATGATGTTTAGGTTGATTTCTTCTTTATGCACGTAGGATAACTAACTCAGGGCGGACCCACGTATAGAGTATTGGATGCTCAAGCATCCATTAATTCAGCACAGAAATTTTATATATGTATATATAAAATAATATTGGAAAATGATATATTCTATTCGTGAGCATTCATAATTTTTAAATTCTGAATTCGCCACTGTATCTAAAGAGGCATAAATGATACTTTTTTAACAAAAAAAAAAAAAGAAAAACCTCTCGCACTCGCAAAATACTTGTAACTTTCAAAACCTACAACTGTCCATTTAGATCTTTTTGTGAAAAACGTTTTTCTCCGAAACAAAAAAGAAACTTTTTCTCCAAAATTGTACAAATTGCTCCTCAATAATCTTCACAAGCTGAATGAGGGAGCTAAGTTGTGTCGTATAACCCTTTCAAATCTCACACTGTTCAGGGTTATAAATCTTGTCTGACAAATGAGGATCAGTAAGGAGCTTTTCAGCTTCTGAATGCTTCTGTTTTGAACAGTCCCTTCCCAATATGAGACAATAGGGAGGTATGTATTACACAAAACGAGTAACAACCGTGAATATCTGAGACTGCAACCATGTTATTTGTTGATCAGGTTGGAACAGAATGTCTTATAAAATGTTGGATCACTTGGAAATTAGTTAAGGGAGCTCCGAATCTGATGCATGGCCAGATGATCTCCGTGTTCTTGGGCTTGGGCTGTTCATCATCATTAACTGAGTTTCAGAATTTTGCCTTATAGTACGTAGGCTTGGAGGTCTTACTGTCCTTCCCCTTGGTGTTCCTGAAACAATGATCTCATGATGATGTTTAGACAATAATAACAATATGGAAACTACACAAGAATCATTCTCCTCTTCTTTTGTAGCTTGCAAAAATATATTATGAGAAGGGAAGTCATGATGCCGGTAGACTAATCATTGCGCTAGGTATGTCTTGCATCAATTTGTAGTTGTTCTCTTATAAGTTATTATCTTTTTTGTTCTGGCAATACTCTGACTTAAGTTCATAGATACATAGTCCAAGCAGATGATGTGGTTGCTCCTATTTATGGTATTTGATAAGAATTCTAACATTAGTTTTGATTTATATCAATGTAAAGGATCATAAATGTTTAACTGTGAGAAAAGAAATTCTTAACATGATTACTTTACATCTATCTCTTAAGTCCAAGTGTTCCACATTCCTAGTCAGGTTTTAGCCAATGCAAACTTACTTTGGGTATTTGTTGTTAGTAAGGATCAAATAACAATAAAATTAGGAGTATATGTTGTTGTTTCTGGTGTCCCTGAGGTTCTGTTAGGCAGTTGACTTTCTTTAAAATTTCGGGACAAGAGGAAAAGGAGATTCAGGCAAAAATGCACAATATAGCTTTTGAGCCAAGAATTGCTACCTGGTTGCTTGCCGACTTTGATATCGGCAGGTTTCCTAATTGAAAGTCTTTTGATCAATATCTCGGGAGATGCAATATTCTTCTTTTCAGTTGGTGATGGAAGTGCATCATCTGCCGTTACAGGATCATCCCCACATGCAGAAGTTCCATCACTTCCTGATTCAGAATTTACGTCTCTGTGAATTGTGCTTGACTTTTCTTTCTCGGTCACCCTGTATGCAAACATGTGGAAAGGTATTTGTGTGACAGGCAGAGGATCAGAGTCACAATTTCCTAAGGGGATGCTCCTAAAGATGACAGCTTCAATCTCGCCGTAGTCTACTGGTGGCAATGGTGAGTCTTGTTGGCTGTGTTCAGGATTCATCACCAAGAATCTCTTCACATAGCGTAGAACCCTGCAGATGGATGAAAAACTTGGCCGTTGATATGGATCAGTATGCCAACACCTCTTTGTCAAGCTAGTCACATATTTTGGTGAGTGAAATGGGAATAATGGCCTCTCTCCTGCCCTTATATTTCTACTCATTTTGTCTCCTTGTAGATGGCTATCTTCAAATGGAACTTTCCCTGTTAAAACCTCAAAACATATCATCCCAAAACTGTACACATCAGATTTCTCGGTATACTTAATGTTCCCTCCATTCCCTGACTGCTCTTGTTCAGCTAGGACTTCTGGGGAAAACCAAATGAATGGGAGTGTCCCATTATTTTGATTCACATTAGCTTTCTGAGGAAGGTTGATAGAACACGATGAGCCAAACCCACAAACCTTTGCATGTAAATACCCTTCTGCAGATACGTTCCTCGCCTTGATAAGGACGTTGGAAGGATTCAATTCACCATGATAGATTTTCTTTGAGTGTAGGTATTCCATGCCTCTTGCAATCTGAAGGAGTAAATCGATTGCAACGGGAAGAGAAAAGGGTACACGCTTTCTTGGTCCACAGATTTCTTTGATGTAACTAGATAAATCTTTGCTCATAAGTTCCATGATTAAGAAACATTCTCTCTTTTCTTCATCAGTAAAACCACAGGAGATGTGCATTATATTTGGATGAGAGAGATGCAGTTCTCGCGAAATATCTGGAATCAGGGGCTTAATATCCCCAAACAAATGCCTTAAACAAAAGGTCTCCCCCAACCATTGGATCTCCTTGTACTGACTTCCACTGCCTAATCGTCTTCTTACTTGGTAATCCTTAGAATTTACAAGAACTGAGCTAGGTGAAAGCTTAGGATCACTCTCCATCTCCATCTCCATCTCGTTTAAGTTCTTCAAGAGGAGATCAGCAAGTCGTTTCTCATGCTTTGTCAAAGTACATGCACCTGAATTCTTCTTCTCTCGAATTTTATTTTTCAAAATCCACTTGTCTTCATTCCAAACTGAGTATACCCTTTCGCAGAACTTCTGAGAAACCATGTACTGTTCTCCGAATTTCCATTGGAAGATTCGTGGGTCCTTACACTCTTTCTGATACTTCATGGAGTAAATGAATCTCTTCTTCTGTATCTCGTCATGGTCACTACCTGAAATCTCTCCTGCTATTTCTATGGCCTCTATGACAATTGGCACACAAGAGAGCAAATTGTGGATGTGAAATTCAATACAATCTGTATTCTTATATAGAACTACAGCTTTTGCCCAAAAATCCTTATTTTCCAGGGATTGCTTGATGTACTGTTCTGCTTCTTTAAACACCCTGAGAAGCTCTCTTAAGGGGTTCTCGAGAATTTTCCATTTGATATTCTTCTCTTCAAATCTCAAGTTCTGTTTCATTGTTTCTGCAAGTGTCTTGTAGGCACATTTGAGCATATCCACCAACAAACAACATTGTTTTTTATTTATTTGAATGTCCTCTTGGAATACCATCAGAGCTTTAAGACTCCCAATTACCTCTCCTATCTGCCTGAATTCCTCTAACGCCGGCATGCTTGGACATAAACCAGAGATGGATCTGGTTATAACCATATCAATAAATCAATCAATCAACTACATCTCAATGAGTATCACTCGGGTGATGAGCATAATAAAGAAAATTATTGTCTAAACATATATTTTGAAAGGAAAAACAAAACAAAAAAAGAAATAGCTTACCAATAAATCGTAATTTCTGAAATGAGGTTCCAATAAACCTAAGGGAGATCAAAGTTACCCTTGATTAAACGCCAAATTGCATTGTGCAGTTGTTGAATCACAGCATGAGGGGATTCAAGTACTGAAAAATAGGAAATCGAATTGAATCTGAGCAATTACGATACCACAATAATAAAGAACTTGATTGCTTTACAATGACAATGAAATCACAAGGGGACAATCAAACTCTCTTTGGAATTTTCAGAAATTACAAAAAACTAAGAAAAAAGTTTTGAAGGAGGAAGTTGTTGATGGCCCAACACTTGGCAGATACTCTACTAATTTTAGCTTGAGCCAAATTGCACGTTTTAGGCCGGCAAAGTTATATATTCAATTACGTGCTGTCGACATTTTCGAGTGAGTTTGTAATATGTAAAATGGTATCATTTTCTTTTATCGTTAATTGCAATGCCTCTTCCCATAATCTTACAACTTTTCAACACCTCCAATTAATTCATGTACATGATATTAGGACAAAAGTAGTTCAGATAATTGCATACGGCATATTAGAAAATCAAAGGACTAGATATTCTCGTTTCTTTAAAATATAATGATATCAAAGAATGTCACGACTCTCACAATATTTTTATATAATAAAACTTAACTTACCGTCAGACTAGACTTAGATAAAATGTACTATCCAAATCCAATAATTAATTATTGGTCTCAATAAGTTTGAGCACAAAAAATTAGGATGCTTTGCAACCGTTGTCCAAGAGGTAGATCCGCCCATAGCCATTTTATTTTTATAGTATTAAACATATAACCATGTAATAATATTAAAATTAAATATTCATGTTAAATAAATAAACAATAAATTAAATTTTACTAATATATTATTTTTCCAAAATCTTTATTTTTTTATAGAACAAGTGTCTGGAAAGAAAATTATGTGTCATGTCACTTATTTTTCCTACTGTAACCCATTTTTGTAATTAATTTGATGAATTATTGTTAATTTTATGGAAACGCCTCTTAATTTAACTAATATCAAGATTAGCAGTTTAGCTCAATTAGATGAAAACGCAACGGAAATACCCAGTTGAGAATATTGTGCCAAATCTGAAACGCCGAGTGACACTGTGACAGTGTGAAACTTCGGAAAACTTCTCGAAGAAGCAAAAAACCCGCTAAGCAAATTTCCGATTTACAATTCGCCGGGGAAAAGGCCACCAGCAAATCTCCGGCGATATGCGGTGGTACGTCGTTGCTGCGCTTCTCACCGTTCTCACCAGCTCACAGGTTTCACTTTATTCCATTCTCCATTGTCTGGTTCTTAGAAGTTTCCTTTACCGTATCATATCTGATCTGTGTTTTTACTTACACTTAGAGGATTAGCTTATTAATATGAGTGTAAAATTGCTTAGCATTGAATCTGAAGAGTAAAATCAAGTTAATTTTCATTGCAAAGTGTATTGCGCCGATTAATTAGATTTTCTGTAATCGTTCCGCATTTGAGTTTAAAATTTTGCTGTAAAAGGGATAATTAGTGGTTTAGTTACTTATCAAGGATCGATTAATTGTATGTTAGATACATGTAGGTTGATAGTTCTGGATTAATTTTTCAATTGTGCATCATCTGGCAGGGAATATTGACGACTCTATCGCAAAGTAATGGAGGATACAAATATGATTATGCTACTGTTCCTTTTCTGGCTGAAGTTTTCAAGGTATCATTTCTTAGATTAGCTTTATTCGCATAAGAGAGGCGTTACATTGTGTTCTATCATTATTATAAATACTAGAATGAATAGAATTTGAGGAATTCTCTTTTTTTTGTTATAACTTCTGAGTAAATCTTATCCAGAAGTAGAAAGGGAGCTTTAAATTGGATTTACATTCCTCTTATACCATCCGTTCTATCATGTTCCCGTCCTTTAAATTTAATGTCGCGATTGTTCCCGTCCTTTAAATTAGTGTTGCGATTTCCATTATGTTCTATCTGGAAAAAAAATATAATAGAATGAAGAGCTGTTGAGAATCTCTTCCTTTTGGCTTGCAAGTAAGAACTTATTAAGAAGTAGGAATGAAGCTCTAAAGTGAAAGGAAGGCTCATTTTTCCTGTATCAGCTATCTTATAATGTCCCCTTCGTTTAAAATTAGTATTGTGCTTAACATTTTAAGTCGTACCAAATTAACTTCAAGCTTTCCTGAACTTCTTATCATATCTGTGTTATGACCAAAAGCTGGGTATGACTTTTACACTTTAAACATGTAAAAGAGATCAAAACTATTCTGTCACCTGACTTTGGGATGCATTGATATAGAATGTTCCTCTCTCAATCTTCAGCTTAATGAAATGAACTATCTTATGTCTATCCTTTTTCTTTTCAGAAAGTTCTTCTTGTATTGATCATTAATTAGAGAAATATCTCAAATATTATGGACAATTCAATTTGACTAGCACCTACTTTTAGAAGGAATTTCTGGAGAGGCATTTAGTGGGGCTATTTCCTGTGTAGAAACCCCTCTTGCATAATAGTTACTTCTTCATTTTCAGAATTTTCTCTGAGATTTTCCTCGTTCATTCATTTCTCATCCTGCAGCTTCTAGTATCCAGTGTCTTTCTTTGGAGAGAGATGCAAAACTCACCGCCGCCTAAGATGACAATGGATTGGAAGAGTGTTCGTTTATACCCAATTCCATCTATCATTTATCTCATCCACAACAACGTGCAGTTTGCTACATTGACTTATGTAGATACATCAACATATCAGATAATGGGCAACTTAAAGATTGTTACTACGGGAATATTATTCAGGTGCTTGGTGCTGTCTTTTATGCCTAATTTCTCTACCTTCTTTCACTTTTTTCCATTCAGCATCAATTCTTCATTTCCTGTATTGAAGTTGGTAAAGTAAATTAGAGATTTATCTTTCATATTTTAGGCTGTTTCTGAAGAGGAAGCTTACGAACTTGCAGTGGATGGCAATCATACTTTTGGCTGTTGGAACAACCACAAGCCAGGTTCTTACGGAATCTGTTTGCCTATTTCTATAATTTGGGCATGCTGAATCATGTCATGCATATAAATTTTCTTTTGGAGGCCTGACCTGAAACCTAACCATGTAAGGTGTTAGAACTGGCATGCCAAATTGAACTCCTGTATTTCAGCTATTTAATTGGAAGCATTACCTGCACATCATGAAAGATGGTTATGACTCTCTGATTGGTCATATTCTTTCATGCTGTGAGTTTGTAATGGATTGGCTCATTTATAGGATTCGCGGTGAACTACGTGATGGGTATACCAGCTTAGTTTGTTCTGGACAATTTGCGTCATTCTATATTATATCTTAGAAACAAATTTTTTTTTAAAAATATGCCCCCAAAAAAGAATAATATATGCTAACAGCCTCTCTACTGTTTATCTGGTGCAATCATAAATCAATTTTGAGAGCCATCTTGGCAAGATGTTTTTGGTACTGCCCGTCTGCATTTGTTTAAGCTTCTAATGGACACTCCAGTACACTTCTCTTCAAGTATGCATATATGGTAGAAAATGTAGATATCATAATGTTGCCCCTTTTCTGAAATAAAATTCACAACTTTTAGGAACTCAAATTCATTGGATTATTCAAATCTTAAACTTGGATGTGATGTTTTATATATCACATTATGATCAATCATTTATTAAATATTTACTTTCAGTGTTAGGTCAAATTTAAATCTTTTGTCCAGTCTTATACCATAATATGAAATAGGATTAAGGGAGTATTAATAATTGTTCCACATTTGTCTGGTGTTCAACACAGGTGAAAGGCTGTGGAGAAGCTTCCTGTGACTCATTCTTTTCATCGCCCATTCAAGGATATTTGTTTGGTGCACTCTCTGCTTGTCTTTCAGCACTAGCCGGTGTTTATACTGAGTTCTTGATGAAGAAGAATAATGACAGCCTGTACTGGCAGAATGTCCAATTATACACGTGAGTTTTTCCTGACCAAGAGATTTACACTGGTTCCGTTATGAATGCAATTAAGCTTTTCCTATTCTACATATGTTAAAGCTCCAAAGTGGACAGTTTCATGGGACCGTAAGGGAGAAGATTTTGTTAGTCTTCAAATACTGACTTGAATCCTGTTATGTGATCAAACTCCATTCTAGTGGTCCAGACCCATGAAATTGATCTGTTAAATTGAAATAGTGCATTGGACTTACAGATTTGGCTCAATATTCAACATGGGACGACTTCTTATGGATGATTTTAGAAGTGGGTTTGAGGAAGGACCGTGGTGGCAGCGCATTTTCAACGGATACAACACGACTACATGGTTGGTAGTGTTGAATCTTGGAACTACTGGCCTTCTGGTTTCATGGTTGATGAAGTACGCTGACAATATTGTAAAGGTATCTTGTCTTCCTGAATTAGATGCACTGGATTTCTGTTCTGTTCGTAAACAATTTTGATCACCTTTAGTATGAACTGTACATATCGTAGAAGTACTATTTAATTCCCCTTGAGTTTCATGGCAATTGATTCTCTTCTTGTACTTTTAGAGTTACAAAACCTGCCATATAACTTTAAAGAACTTATAGATTCCTAATTGTGATTCTCAAGTGAATTATCCTGGGGATGAGAAAGCTGAGGAGTTATTTTGAATGGCATCTCTGCTTAGAAATTGAGAGAGGCTAAGGGTAAGGGGTGGTGGCAGGACATGTTTGTAGTTTCTCAATGAGAAGGAACTCTTTAAGGGGAAGAAAGGCACGGGCTAGACTGTTTAGGGAAAAGAAGACTAGGGTTAGAGCTAACGACATCTCATTATGTTGACTCCTCTACTATTGCTATACTATATCTTATTTTGTCGACTTCTCCACTATTTCAAAAAATACTGCATTGTTGACTCCACTGTTGCTATAGTTTAAAACTTAACCCGGTGTTTTCTGTTAGATACTTTATGGTCAATCTGGCTTGGACTGTATGTGTATGTGGTGATTTACTGTATATGGAAAATTTATATGAGCTGTTATAAGTTGGACTTATCTCGTCTAGCACCACATTTCACTGATTTATGTCTTTAGTCATTTGACTCTTTATTTTTGTGATTTGTTCATCTTCTGGAAGGATCACACAACTGCTTAGAGCCATCCAAGCACGGGATCAGCCAAAAACAAGAATATAAAGGGCTCATTTACTTGGACCCATCATGAATGGAAGTGAAATTTAAATCCAGATACAATTTCAACTTCAAATACTTTTTTTCAACTTCGAGTTCAAAAATTTTTGTTTTTCAACTTCAACCAAAATTTTGTCTTATTACGCCTACAAAATCCTTTACTTGAAATCTCGATATGCATTTTAATCTTTTTTGGCTCAATAACCAAACCATACGAATTAGTTTTATAGAAGTGGAGGAGAAATTTAGGGCATCCACCTCTGCTGTATTTGTAATTATTCTGGTATTAGATTTATACTAATTGCTTCAAAGTTCTTCAGCGATGCAATCCATTAATTATGTTCTCATTCACACTCATTTAGCTTCTACATAGAACATCACATTACCATACTAGTTATCAGTAAGAAGCAAAGTTGCAGTCTAGTGCCCTATCTGGTATTAAAGTGAAGCTTCAGTTTAATGTAGTCAAAAGTTACAGAATCACTTTAAGATCACACACAAATTTTCTGAGTGTGATAGCCGAACTGTGTGATGTCTTATTTTATAGGGAATTTTGTTTATTTTCCTTTCTGTTGAATGGTTGCTCCTTTGCTCTTCCTTTTGTTTCTCTATCTGAATAATCAGATTGTTACCTTTTCTTTTTCAGGTGTACGCCACCTCTATGGCAATGCTCTTGACGATGGTGTTATCAGTGATACTCTTCAACTTCAAGCCAACAGTACAGGTAAAGATGCAGAGAGCTGTTCCTAATTTGCACTGTTTTGTTATTTTCCTTTATATTTCATAAACATGTCTTTACTATGTCATTATCAAGTTTCTTTGTAGTGTTTATTCTTTTCTTAATTTGTCTATTTGCAGCTCTTTTTGGGTATCATTATCTGCATGATGTCCTTACATATGTACTTTGCTCCTCCAAGCACACTAGTGGATTTGCCTTTGACAGTAAAACCGGTTTCTGAGAGTGTATCTGAAGTGCCTGCTGAATGAAAAACAGATTCCTGATGTACAAAATTCTGCCACCAGTTTTTTTTTCCTTTGATTTGTGCAAAGATCTTCACAAGTTTGAGGTTCAGCTAATGCAAATGGTGAAGGGTTGGTTTCATGACCATCACTTGGATTCCAGGAAATCAAGATAACATGATTCAAGAGTAGAGTGTAAAAGCTTTCTGATGATAGGAGCTTCTTCCCACCCTGGTAATGAGCATGATAGTAGGACGAGCACTGTCAATCATTGATGTCTTCATTTTTTTAAACCAAAACCAGTACGAACTTAATGGCACAGTAAAAACACACGGAATCAAGAAAACACAAGCAAAGACAAAGATGAGGATGATATAACTTCTGTTGTGTTCTGTAATGATTCGTATTCAATGTAGTGTAGGTACATAAAACTTTTGAGTGGAACAAGTTACATGAGAAACAGCAGATATTTGTTGTGCCAGAAAATCTTGTATGACCATATACCTTAGTTATATACCTGTTTCATGGTTGTTGTAACTCTTTGATCACCAGGTTGGAACATCTACAAGTCATTCATTGAAAGACAGAAGGTGCATTGTTCATACATTTTTCGATGGATTATTATTTCAGTTTGAATCCCAAAAAAATACGGGTTTAACAGTAGTGTCTCTTTGTTTATATCTCTATACCCAAATTACTAAAAGCCTGAAACTCACTCATATAGGTAAAAATCATAATTTTTTTTTATTGAATGATACTATTATTTTGAACTCATAGTTTAGTAACAAGTGTTAAAATCAAAACTCTAATTTGCCTCTTGGGAACACAGAGAGTTTAAACGAATAGCAGCCACAATTTAGTTGAACAGGTAAATCTATCATTCAATGAATTAATTGCAGTACTTTAGTTATGGATTTTGTGGTGTCTAGCATTTGATAGAACATCTACTTTTCTTCCTACCATTCAATATGTGCAATTATTTGCAAGCGTTAGCCCACCTACACAGTATCATTGATTATAAAGTCTCTCTATATTCATTTCAAACATTAAAGTTGATCATTTCTAAGAGTCAATTATTAAAAACCAACAGTTTAATTATTGCAAACAAGAAATTAAGTAGATATTTTTCTTACTACAGTATTTCTAGTGAAAATTCTGGTCATTATTTTTCGAAATCTGAACGTACTTTATTCATTTCTCTAATAAAATTAAGTTTCAATTATAGTGGTCCTTTGAACCAAGGGAAATTCAGCTCAGCTTTTTCTTTTTTTCCACAGGATGATTACAAATCAAAGAAGAAAAATTCAATCCGACTTCACATGAACAATTTAAAAAATTTGGTAAATTTTGATCCCAAGAGCAAACCTGAAATAAAGCAATTTATGTCCCATCAAAAAACAATTTTCTAGTGATAGGTGTATTATCTTGGCTAAAAAACAATTCCATGAAGTTACAAGTGTGTTTGTAGTATTTTTTTTTAAGTCAACAATTATCTATAATACTTGCACTTAACCTACCATCTATCAATAATTAAAGTTTTCTTATTCTATATCAACTACACAAAATCGAAACTGAATTAATTCAAATTTATGTCACGTAATATCCAGTAAAGGAGAAAAAACATTCCTCACACACACAAAAAAAATAAAATCAAACTCTAAACTCTAGCAAAACTAAAATAATCATCTTCATTCCACCACGACTCATGTCTACCCTTATTTATTAAATGAAAAAAGTTGTAAGTTTAAAATAAATGAGAAATGAAAAAAAAAACTAAACTTTCTTTCTTTCCTCTATAAATAGCTTAGAGTGCCACACTCTATATATCTCCACCACAAAGGTTCCAATAAAAATGAGCGGAGGTGGAATGGAGTCTATGTCACGGCCAGCACCACCGGATGATGGCGGTGGAGTGAACGGCGGAGACCGGTGTGGGTATGGTTTTCATATGCCATTGCATTACCCAAGATACACACGAGCTGAATATGAAGCAATGCCAGAATGGAAAATAGATTGTTTACTTACTCAATATGGACTGCCTAGTAATGGAGATGTCTATCAAAAGAGAAAATTTGCTATGGGAGCTTTTCTTTGGACCTATTAATTACTTTTTTACGATGTAAAATCTTGGGTGTGTATTTAAGTTAAGAACTCTTCTTTTGTAATATGTAAAATGCTGGGTTGATCATCTTTTTGTTTCTAGTAAAACTTTTTCTTATATATATAATCAACTTAATTATATTTACGCTTTACCCATTTTCTTAATTAGTACTTCCTCTTTATTTTTCAAAATATGTGAGCTATTAATTTTTTTTTTTTTTGCGTTAATCAATCAATTTTCAAATTATTTTTCAAGACCTAATACTAAACATCAATTAATTTAACCATTATGGTAAAATTTTCATATCAAACATTATGAAAATGGCCAAAATCGCTAATCAGTCTGCGAGATTCTTTTCTTTTAAAATCGCTAATCAATCATTGAAATAGTTTTTTTAGAAATACATCTCCGGTCTGCAGGTAGCAAAGTATACTTTTGACTCCAAACTCATTTATTTAGGGGGTATGATAAAGTAAATATGATCTAAAGGAGTAGAAAGTGAAATTTAGTTTTATGTGTTATCGTTCTATCTTAGATGTAAATTTAAAACTGATATTCTTTGAGCAGTATTAATTAGGCTAAAAATCAATTACAATTCCACCAAGTAAATGCAACAACCCAAAAGGCAAAGCCCAAACAGAAATATCGAAAGTAAGACCTAGGATTGACTGAAGAAGGAGACAAGGAACTAGACTTAGAGGAAGCAGGATGAGAGATACAGACTTTGCATAAGCATGATCGTAATACGCATAAACTTATTTTGTTCTCACAAGTCTCTATTTATCAATCCGAATCTCATACACAACCATTTAATCCGATATTGAACTGTTTTGTCAATACTGGTCTAGGCTCATTCGTTAACAATTTATAACCGAAAAGAATTACCCAAAAAAAAAAGTATCATCGTATATTCAAGTTGGGTAGAAATGGATCAGATCCCCCATCAAATTAAAGCCCATCTGCCTATGTAACTCAATGGTTTCATGGGCCCTTTACTATTTCTTTCATACTTGGGCCTAGTCTACACAAATTAATGGATCCAGTGACATAGAATTCATCGAATAAAAATTCTGAATTTGTATTTGTCTCGTAGTTAAGAAATCCAATTATTGTATCGAATATAGAGATGTTAGTCGTAATTTGCATGTGGAATTTCCCTATCCAAAGTATTCTTGCTCCCCCACCTTCTGCGTCATGGATTTCTTTTCCTCAATTGCACAATAACTTGTCTCTATATGTATCGATAAAAATCTTTCACTTAATATTTAACTAAGTATTTATTTTTATCGGTCGATCAAATATGTAATGTAGACTTGCTCATATAACGGCTAGACAACTTTTAGTGTCTTCGTAACAACTAGATAATTACTCATTTTAATACATTAACAATTCAAATTCAAATTAGGTGGTTGTTAATAATTTGAGGTGTCAAAAGGGAGAGAGAATCTAAAGTCCAGCTCCATTTAAAATTTAAATAAATATCTATTTCAACAACTAATATAAAAAATTTAAAATCTTTTATTTATATATGTAGAAATACTTGTCTATTAATTCTGATTAATTAAATAAGCTGATGTTAGATGAAAAAAAAAAGAAGTTGAATAAAAAGGAGGTGGCACATGGGTTTGCAAACAAAAAAGTTTGATAGACCCCACGATTTAGCTGGTTCCTTACTCTTTTTTTTTTACTCCTTTCGTTCAAAATTGTTTATCATATTATATTTATCAAAAGTCAGTTTGACTAATTTTTAAAGATAAATTAAATTACATCGATTCGATATTTTAAACAAAAAAATTAGATATTTTAAAACTATATGAAAAGTACTATAAATTACAATGTTTTGCATATTAATATGATGAAAAAATACATCTTAAAATGTTAATCAAAATTTTTATAGTTTAACTTTAAAAATAGAAACCATAACAAACAATATCGAACAGATAAAGTATAAAATAAAAATTACTTTCTATTTATAGATAATATGAAAAAATATTTATAAAATTGGGTTATTTATTAGATAATTACAAGTAAATTTCTATAATACAGATCCACAGATCCTTTATAAAAGCAATTATCTTGCTATTATAATTACATTTCTTTAAATTACTATACTATTTCAATTTATTTTTATTTTTATCAATATTGACTTGACACATTCTTTAGGAAGCAACATATAGAATGGTAATTTTATTCTATTAACCTTTGAATATAATAAATTCAATGACAATAGTTAATATGAATAAATTACGGATTAAGTGGCATATTATACGTTGATTTTCTATATTTGGACAAATAAATCTATATGGATGGAGTAATATACATAGCTTAAATTTTTAATAAAACAAAAACAAAAAGAATAAAAAATCCTAATAACTAACTATATAAACCTCCACAAGTGTGAGCCAGCATTTATCAGTTGTTTGTTTGCAAGATAATTACATTTTTTTTTTGTCTCTCTTGAGTAAGAAAAGGTGGGGGGAGATTAGTTATACTTATGGCTTTTGTTGTTTCAATATTGTTGGCCATCTTTGCCATGGCTATTTTCACTGTTCAAGCTCAAGAATTTGCTCCTGCTCCTGCCCCTACTAGTGATGGTTTGTTCTCTATCCCCCCCTTTCTCTTTTCGTTGGATCGATTTCTATTTTGAATTTTTTTATGTTGTTAGTGTATATAATTTAAATCGTAATATATGTATTTTGCAGGAATATCTGTAGATCAAGGGATTGCATATGTGTTGATGCTGGTGGCTTTAGTTCTAACATATCTCATTCATCCTATGGATGCTTCTTCCTACAACTTATTCTAAATTCAGTCAGTTATAATCTTTAAATTATGTTGCTTTTTGGGAAAATGGTTGTAATCATTCTTCATATGGATTTAATTGATTAATCAATTCATGTTTAATTTAATTTCTAATTTACATTTAGTTGCCTTTTTCTCATTTCTCCTATTGTCAACAATTCAAGTGTAAGAGATATAAAGAAATGCATCATAATGCACTGATTAATACAACTAAAAGAATATATGAGAAGCCACTTATGAGTAGCAATCTATTGCTTTTTCGCGAGAGAATCCTTACAAAGGTAAGAATAAAGATTGCGTACACCCTATTTGTGAAATTAGGTGTGAAATTAGGTCTTAGGCCTAACTCACACCCCAAAAGCTAACTCAAAGGGAGGAGGATTGCCCAAGCCTTATAAAGAGTCCACTCATCTCATTAATCACCGATGTGGGACTTTTGTCATTCTTTAACACCCCACTTCACGCTCAGTGCTTAGCATCTGGTGCATGTGCAATTTTAATTTTACATCGGGTGAGACGGGCCCTGCTCTGATACCATGTGAAATTAGGTCTTAGACCTAACTCACACCCCAAAAGCTAGCTCAAAGGGAGGAGGATTGCCCAAGCCTTATAAAGAGTCCACCCATCTCATTAATCACCGATGTGAGACTTTTGTCATTCTTTAACACTATCCTCCCTACATCCCACTTGTAAAATTACACTGGGTATATACTTGTATCTCACATCCCGTTTTGTGCACTAGTGTAACGCATCTCCTTGAGTTTTTGCAAGCAACCCCAAGTACATTCACCCTCCAGGAAGTTTCCTACTTCCATTCAACACATAATCCTAGTTTATTTAATTAAACTTTCTAAAGTTTATGAAATACACAGAGTACAGTACAGTTGCTTTTTTCTTTTTATGAATCTGTACGTAAGACAATAGTTGCTGTAGGACAATGGTTTTGAATTTACAAAGGCATAACTGGCTGCCTATTTATTAATCAGACATACAGCGTCATCACTGGAGAAACTTCTCCACTAGCTTGATTAGCTTTCAAGCCTCGCAGGCAAAATTCGCCAACGAAGTACCCCTGTGATGAAATCGCTGCAACTGTCGGGTCTTCAGGAGATTACATTTCATCGAATATCATCCATCTGTTAGATCTTCAGCTTCTTATTGGTAGAAGTTATGCTAATATCACTTGTCTCATTGGCTTGGAAGATAGATCACAATGCTATAGATCAGCACCTTCGTTCTGCTGATGCATGTGCCTATGGCTCAAACAATATTTTACCACCTCATAGAAGGAAACAACGATCCCAACTGAAGGTCCAGCTCGGGCAACTCGAGGGCCAACTCCAGCAAAGAACCCCTTAAATCCCCCATCCCTGGTTCATGAGAACAATAATTAGCACAGGATACAGCACCAAAGACTATAAGAAAATGGTCTACAATCTTTCTATTAAACACTTAATTTGAACAAATAACAAGACGCTGATTTCATGGAGACACACAGGTTCATCTTGTCCTTCAGACTTTGCTAGAAATGGCCAAGCGTCAAAGGAGTTCAAGAATCAGTTTCTATTTATAAGGGCTAAAATCACTTACTTTGGTTTTTTTTATCAAATGGAACAATGTGTATCTGCTATGCATTATTTTCACTCACTTATGACCTATTAAGAACCCCGATAAAATAGAATTATTTTCTCAGCAGCATGAAAGAATCAGTGTCTTGCAATAAAAGAATAAATCGAGATAGACAAGATGACGAAACAGATATTCCAGAACATCCAGTCGATCAATTGGATTCATCGTTCTCAAATGCAAAGCAAGGAAGACAAGGAGTTATTCGCCTCCGATGGATCTGTTTCTGGGAGTAATTGGCGAAATGTTTTATCGGTAAAATCATCACTTAATGGGACCTCAAACACTTCCAGCGAAACCATCTCTTAGGAATTGAGGCTCCTTCAAACATTCCATCCTCAATTTTCTTCCCCCCATACCCCTTCCAAAAAGAATACATCATCCATACATCTATTTTATCGTACTTAATTGAAAAGAAAAAAAACTTATCCTATCGGCAATTGGCATACTAATGAAAAGGATTAGTTTGTGAAAACCAAAATAAATCAATCAACTCATGGGAGCTCATCACTGCTCTTATTGTGTATCTTTACTCAACTAGATCAAAACCTATTGCAGTATCTGAAAAGTATAGGGGGCAGGAAGGGGAGACGGGGTTGCAGCCGAAAATAAAGAAATAAAATGAAGTCAAGTACCTCCATATCTCAACCAATGTTTGTCTTGTGGTCATTCTCAGTGCTCGTTCAGGATCATTCTGATATGAAAAATGAAAATTATATTAAATCAACAAAGAAAAGGAGGGAAATAATAATAACTAGTGTTTCCAAAGCGAGAAAGTTCATGGGGTTCAAAGGGAAAAAATGAGAAAGTAAGTCATTCTAGAGAATTGACATTCCAAATCATAATGTAAGACTACTTATTGGAGGATTCACTGCAAAATACTAACTTGGCTCATGATTGTCGAGATAATAGTCTACTTCTCCACATCCATGCTTCTTTAAGTTAATAAAAATAACAGACAATCAGGTTCTCGAAAGTTGTAGCTTTGTCCCATGTCCAATTCCAGTGGAATCTCTTGCAGCTTGTTTGGATTGTGGTTAAATATAGTTTTGTAATGCATCATATTATATTGTACTATATTGTTTTGATGAATAAAATGTTTGGATAGATTATATTGTTTTACATCGTCACGTAATGACATGCATCAAAGTACTCTAAAGGAAAAAACTAAAGAAAAGTAGGATACGGGTAGCGTTATATAAAAAAAGTAGAAATAAAATAGAATTATTAAATAATAAGCGAAGACAAAATGAGGAAAAGAAATAAGGTTACGACGTAATCACACCAAATCAATCGTTACATTCGTCGTTATGTGACGATAAAAATGACGATATCATAAAAATAAATTTTAAGTAACAATCAAAATAACAATTGAATTATACAATACAATAGGTAACAACCATCCAAACAAGCTATAAGCTAATACGTCCAAATCAAACTCATCAAACAGACTGCCACATCAACAAACAACGGAAACAAAAGGTATGAAGTAACTAGAAATCTGGGTTTGAGAAGTTAAAAGCATATCAGCACCACCAAAACACAGAAATACTTTTCGGTAAAATGAGTTGACAAACTCATTTGCCACCAAAATTTGATGTTCTTAACTTTCTGTGTTAAGTTCAGAACTACATCACCACAGAAATACCTTTTCAATTTGCTGATTCTTACTTTTCCTTGAACAGACTGATGAAATCGCACCCCTACTGGGAAGCATTAGAATACTGGATAATCTAGAAATATGTGACGGAATAAATGGTAGATCCAAAAGGAAATGCATATTTGGGGAGAAATAGTGAACTCAACAAGTAATTCTGCGAGTTGAACCGAAGAGCTCATGATTTGGTGCCTGGAAAAAAATCATCTACTTCCAAATGTGACATCTGAAGATTTCTATGTAGTAAACTCTTATTGTAAGTTTTTAGTTGTTGATCCTCAAGAGTACTAACTCATGGCCTTGGAGGAACATATGGAGATAAGAGTCACCATGACAGTGGCTTGATTTGTGTGGCTAGTTGCAATAAAAGCATGTTGACACAGGACAGAGGTTTGCAGCTCTGTAATAGGTGCCATCTTTGTGGAACAAATTCAGGAACCATCAACCATTTGTTTTTGCACTGCCATATTGTTTTACAACTATGGAACTTTTTTCCAAATAAGCTAGGCTAACAATGGACAATGCCTGAAGAAACATTTGATTTGATGAGAAGGTGGCATAGAAGGAAGTTGTCAAAAGAACAACAAAAATGGACGATGGTGGAAAACTATCCAAGCTACCATTTGGAAAGAGAGAAATGCAAGATGCTTTAAAGATACAGCTAACTCTACAGAGAAGATAAAGAACAACAGTTTACTTTTGTTTTCTTTTTGGTGTAAAGAGGATCTGATTAATGATGCAGACACTCGGTTATACATATTTGACTCCATGCTTATTTGATGTGAAGCTGGATCTTTTTATAAAAATTCAACCACAATTCGTGCTGCGTTTATAGTACTTACATTTTTCTCGAATAAGAGTTCTTTGTATTTAACTGCAGTGGCAAACAGAAGTTCTTTGTATTTGATATAGTTCCCAACTAGAGGTTTCATCAATGTAAAGTTGTAAACCCATGCCTAAGTAAAGAAGTACTACATGATCATTTTCACTTCGAAAACATGTTTGATCCAACCCAAAGCTTACCAACTGATTGAGGTTAAGCGTAATATCCACCCAGAAGTTATTGGATCCAGGAAAGCGAGTATACACTCACACTCCACAGCCAAACTAGAAGAAATTCATTTATGAGTGTGCACTATCAAGCAGAAATTTCTCAATGTTCTGTATTTGACATCAGTATATTACTAAGAGGTCCAACTACTCATGTGATCCAAGAAAACTTTCACAATGGATAATCACTCTTTCTGTTAGTTGTTTCTTGTAAAGATTGTTTAGGTGAATAAAAATGGGAGAAGAGAGAAGACCAACCTCTATTTGTCTCCTAGTTCTTGCAACATCTAAGGGACATGTAGCAGAAGCTGCAAGAATTCCTGCAACAAATCCAGCAGAAAAGTTTGCACCAAAGACAGTCGTTGCGCTTGCTTCATCTCCCACCATGCCTAGTAGCTTCCTCCTAACCTTCACAAAAGTAGCGATTGTTCTATTCAATTAAACACAGTGTGGGTGCAGGAATAGGACGAAGTTATGGGCAAGCACTTACTGGTTCAAGAGTAGACCAGCAAATTGCAGAGAAAGGAACATCACGAGCTAGTTGTGCCCCCAGACCGGTCCAGAGGAGGCGGTAGGATTGTATTGCTAGTCATTAGTTGGGGGGAAAGTAAATAACCACAATGTGTTAGCATAGCATTAAGAATCAAAACGCACAAGATCTAGAGCAGTAAACTTCCATAATGGATTACTCAAAGAAATTGAATATGTGCAATATCATATGCTGTAAGTAACACTTTTAGCAGATTCATTCTGTGTCTCTAGCAACTAATACTAGAGGGCAGTTAGTTAATTATGATGGATTTATCCTGTATTTCCTTTGCCAGAAGTAAGCTAATTTGGAAAGATCTAGTATTTCTTAGCAAAAATTAATAAGGACAAGATAACCCGGAGAAAACTTCCTCACTGAAGCATTATTGGTATGTTGAATTTCCCCATAAATTACAAAGAACTGAGTTCTCTTAAATAATTATGTTACAAGAAAATCCTGCAGTTCAATGGGCACACCAAGGAAGAGACAAAAGCTCCACCTTGTGTCTGAAAGAATTTAAGACAGCAGTACAACATAACTATGTGCAGCCAACTAAAGTAAGTTTGATGAAGAAGTATTACAATTTTGAAAGCTGTTTACACTATTGACTGGAGAAACAACCCCAACTAACGTCTTCCACACTCCTGGGGGCTTCACACCATTTTTTGTGTCTTTGAAGGCCTATCACAAATGAAGTCATAGGAAGAAGTAAAATTTAGCAGAAAAAGAAGACAGATATTGTCCGAAACATAGATAACATCATAACATGATAAACCCAAACACCAAACGAGGTGGTGCTGCTCTCTCTGAAAAGGAAATTAACAATATCTAGTAAGTTCCAAGCACCCTAGATATAGTAATTACAAAGACAAACATCAACAATAAGAAACTTAACATTTCAAAGTACCAATGTGACAACCCTTTAAACAACAGCCCTTTAACTGTCCCAACAGTGGAACTGGAACAAGATTTCCATCTTCACCTTTTAGCTTTAACCATACCTAGCCACTAATTCACAACACCGAGAGCTAAGAAATATCTAGAAAGAATTTAAACAATTATCCAGCAAAACATTTTTTAAACACTGGAAAAAAGTTGAATTATCTCCTGGGGCATATAGACACATGCCCAAAATATGTGATATACTTTGATCTGATGAATGTGAATTCAAATATTTGCATGTCTGGAAAATGTAAAATTTTCACATTCATCTATAGTTCTACCTACAAGACCAGCTGTAATACTAAAAAAAAATCTCTTAGCAACAAGAAATTCCTTTAGCAGTACTAAGCAATTGTGTAATGTCAATCTGCATCAAGAAGATAATCAGATTACCTGCATACGTGTTCTTGCAAGCTCAACTGGATAGCAAGTGATGCAAGCAATGGAACGTGCTAAGGAACCTGCTACCAAGGGGACATATGCTGTAGCAATTGGTATATTACATAATGTATACTCTTCTATAGTGTTGCGAAAAATGTCATAAAGAGGCAAATATATCGCCACCTACAAAAGGGAACGAAACACTTAGTAAGAACTAATACGAAACAGAACAGTTGATAAAGCAATTGCACGTAACTGCATGCTTCAATATTTAATAACCAGATAAATCTGAAAAACAAATGAATTTCTAAATTAAGACTTACAGAAGGGATTGCCAATGTTAGACTTGCATTAGTGCCTCTCCACAGTTTGGTAAATCCTTCCTGTACAAGTTACCTGGGTTATATAGATAACATGGTTGACTTTACTTTAACAGAGCCAATAAAATGCAGGAATGCACTGGAAGAAGATGGTCAGATAAACTCCCTACTTTGCAGGCTCAGTGGTTTTTATTTCTTTTCTTTTTTGACCTGATAATACTGCATAACTTCACAACAACTATGACACAACTGTTCAGATCAGCTTCCAACCTATAACATCAACACTCAACTTTTTTTTTGAGAGGTGACGGGGGAAGAAGGTAATTATCACCTTTCACATGACCATCACATAGGAAATTCATAGATATTCATAATGAGAAGAGAGTTGTCTCTCATGCTCAAGAAAAAGGAACTAGAATTTTCTATTTGAAATCTTTTGCTCCTGACTACAAAAATCATCCTCAAGACTTACTTACATGACTATTTCATGATGAATGTTCATGTTACAGAATTCATAACATTTGAGTGGATTTCAGATAAGACACTCGCATGTCCAAAGCAGAAGATCTCAAACTACATTAGAGAGACAGAACTACGTTACTTCCCACAAAAAGTAACTAACCTGACGAATTACTTTATAAAAGACATCAAGCGTTCCTTTATATCGAAAACACTCTGGAGAACATGTTGGTTCAGCACCAAGAACAGCACGAGTGCCTGCGGAGTTGTACTTCACACCTGTCAGCACCTAAACAAGATAGCAGGGCCAAAATTATATGCTGAAGAACATATAGTGAAAAATCAACCAACTTAACTTGGTCCTTGCAACATTAGATTGATAATTAGGTAAACTGAAAACATCTTGTGCACAAGATCTCGGGAGAACATGAAAACACATATAGCTTCCACAATCAACACATCATTCTCGCCTCTGGGTTAAACAGGTTGTAGTCGCATGAAAAGTAAGCAAAATGAAAAATTGGGAGTTCAATGCTGGGAACCTACTGTATTAGAATTAAGATGTCCCAAATTACACAGGCTGTCATAAGGGACACCAGCAGCCTGAGCTTGCAACCTTGTCTGCAAAGCAGGGAAAAATATGTCATTAAGATGTAAACAACCTGAAAAAAGTGAAATCACAAGTAATTAAATAATCCTCCAACATTATCAACTCAAGATTAGCAGCTTTAATCTTATAAGGTGCTCAACAGATTATCATCGGCATTAATCCGTGTTTAAGCATTAATTTTAGCAATTTGATCAGCTGAACACACAAATAAATACTAATAGAAATCCTAATAGTATAGGGGTTTAGTTTAAATGCTTACATATCAAGCAATCAAACAAACACCACTCCTCAATATCCCAATTTGTAAAAGCAAATTCAGAGAACAATATGGGTTTAAATTAATACGAACTGATAATTAGGAGGAGGAAAAGTAACCTTGGCAACATCGAGAGGGTTGACGAGTATGGCGGAGAGAACAGCAGCACCGGCGGCGGACATAGCCCTGTCTCCGAATCCCATATTGACATCTGTAAAGTTATCGGAATGTGAAGGCGAGTCCCCACCAGAAACGGCAACGTTTTTGTCAAATTCAACGGAGGTTCTTGTTGCAGTAGCTGCCCCAATCCATGAAGACAGCCCTTGTTTTGTTGATGATGATCCAACCATCAATTTTTGTTTTTTCGTATTAAAAATTGATGCAAATTTCTAGGGTTTTTTATTCGATACTTCGAGATGGAAAATATGATTTACTAGTTTTAATTAATGTTTGCATGGAGAAGCTGAATTTAGAAGCAAAATGAATTCGTGGCGTGGACAAAAGGGCGCCAAGCGACAAGAATGGCGGCTGTTTGTATAAACGGAATCTTCCCATTCCCAATTATTCGGAAATGTATATTAATATTAGTTTTACGTAAGATTTTATAATTTTTTGATATAAATTTATATAAGATTTTATAATAAAAATTAAGCAGTTAAGTAAATTTATAAATTAATTAGTCATTATAGTCTGGGTCTGTGTAAAAATTGGGTCAAACCATTAACTCGAATTGATTTTCAATTTATTGGGTAGTTGGTTCGGGGCTCGATTCAGTAATTTATTTTGTTGGGTAATTGGCTCGAGGGCCGGGTTGGGAAGACAAACAAGATAGTTTTCATAAATCGTATACAAATAGTTAGATTGAACATTTACAAAATTTTAGACTTATAAAATCAAAAATCGAATTATATAATTCTGAATTTATACTAACGAAAAGAATAATAGATTATGCAACTAGTAAGATTGTTCACAACTATAGTTGCGTATTAAAATTTTAGTAAGCAATGACTATAGCATTTAAGTTTTAACCACGAGCAACTTTCACATATAACTAACACAAAAATTATATTTATATGTTATAACTATAATTTGCATATACTATTTTTTAAGAGCAACTTTCACATATAGCAAACAAAAAATTCATATTTGTATGCTATAGCAAACTTTGCATAATTGCGCTCCATAGCAAACATAAAACTGTATAATTCGCTATACATATACAAATGTATAATTCGCTGGCCTAAATTGTATAATTCGCTGGCCTATTTCGCTGCAATTGTATAATTCGCTATCCTATTTCACTGCAATTGTATAATGCACAATTGTATAATTCACTACCTATTTCGCTGCAATAATTAAGTGTATAGCAAGAAGATATATGTTTTTCTCTCGCTTTATACAAAAACAGAAACACAATATATACACTTCTGTTGTATAAAGCTAGAGAAAATTGTATTTCACTGCAATTGTATAATTCGTTGACCTTTTTCTCTGCAATATTTGAAGTAAAATGTTTGTAAATTGTATAATTAAGTGTATAACACGAAGATATATATTTTTGCATGTGTATATACAATTTTCTCTCGCTTTATACAAAACCAGATACATAATTATACACTTCTGTATATAAAGCGAGAGAGGCGAGCGAGAATGGAGAGTGGTGAGCGAGATTTCTAGGAGAGAGACGCTGGCAAATTTTAGCTAACGTTTGCTATGGAGCACAATTAAATCAAACCTTAGCTATTCCATTTATTTTAGGTTATTAGTTTGTTATTATATACAATTTTCCCATTTTTTAATAATGCAATTTATTTGATAGATATACCGCACCATATTTTTTGTTAGGATATTTGTAATTAATATATAAATATCCCCTTTAACGAAAAGAAAAAACATAAAAAATGACCTATCAATCATTTTATTTATAGTATGAATATCTCTTTGCTTTTGCTTCTTTGTTTCATTATTTTCTTGTTTTGCTTAAGGAATTTTGTGACCGTTTGGAATTAATGCAAGGTAGGGTACTTTGTTGCTTGAGTGGTCTGCATCTGCTGTTTTTAACTTAAATCATTTTGTTTACCTTTATTTTATGTTATGTTTTTTCCCTTTTTCATGTGGTGTTATATTCCTTGACAGACAAGTTTTATTTGCACCAACGGCTTAGCTGTTGATTGCCCCCACATCCATTAATTCACCTTCCCATGCAAAATTATATCACACAAGTGGCCGCTCGAATATCATTTATCAAAAAATTATATAAATTTAGAAAATTAAATATTAAATAATAAATTTTAAATGTTCTAACTTTGTTATTGGCAAATAAATGGCTCCATTTTGTTTTAAAACAAAATTCTGAGTAAAAGCCAAATTAGTACTTACACCATGGAATTCCTAATAAATTTATTTATTTGTTATAATTATATATATAACAGTAAATAAATAAAATGTATTTTTGAAGACTTTTTATTCATAAATTTAGATTAAAAACAAATCCATATTTTAATAAGAATGATCTTGAATTAATTTAATAAATAAGTGAATCAATAATATAAAGTTAAGAGGAATTGACAAATTTATAATTTTTACTATCTAATTTTATCCTCTCTGCTCACTAATCACAATATAATATAAAAAAAATAGGCCGAACTCATAAACAGATTTCTAAATTTGTTGATTTTTTCGTTCAGGTACCTTAACTACGTCATTTTTCTATTGAATCACTGAAGCCCTCATAATTTGTTCCTTTTAAATATTGATAACTGGTTTTAATCAGTTTTTCTATTGTAAATGTCTTCAATTATATAGTATTGTAATGATTTTTATTGAAGAAATGAAGACAAATTGTGTGTTAATCTCATTTGTCTTCTAATATGTTAAAATGACTTGAAGTAAAACACAACTATGCTCAAACAGTTTCACTATCAATATCTCTTACAAAATTTATTTCCACATAAATCAATGATGTTTAAAAAGAAATAAATTATAAATGGTTCAACGATTGAATCAGAAAATAATATAATTAAGCTGAAAAAAGTGTAACAAATTTAGAGATATGTTATATATTATTAGCATGACCTATATGGGGGGCTGTCAGTGTCCAAACTATATCGTCCGGAAGATATATGGGCCTCAAAATATTCATTAGTGTGAATACGCATAATTATGTTACACTTGTCTCCAAAATGGGGGCTATTCCTTTACCCACCTATCATAAATCGTATAGGTAGCATTTACACGTATGATATGAAATCTTAAAATGAAATTAATGTTAAGAATGTAATTTCAATATAAATAGTTGTTTGAACATGTGATTTTGATATAAATAGACAATTGGATATGTATTAAATTGTAAAATAAATTTAATGTTTGAATATGTGATATAGGCGGATCAAAAAAACTTAAAAAAATGATGCGGAAAATCAACAATTATAGTGAATAATTTTGTGTGTATATATATGTTTAGTGCCGACAAATTTACTCCTCAGTACAATTATCTTTAATTTGTTATATATAGCACACTACTTACCATTTGTTTTAGATTTCAATCAATGAAATAAAGTCCTTTCCATTCATAAAATTAATATTGAGATCGATTGGTTGAATAGAGACAAAAGTTATAAGTTTCCTACTATATAAAAAAAAAATTACACAATTAAATTCTCAAAACTAAATGTGAGGTGTGACACTATTAAAAAATTATTATTTTTCAATTAAATTCGATATTAAAAATGACTTGTGTTCACTTATATTTTAACTGAATAGGGGAAAAAATTTAGAAAGTTCACTACTACTTTAGTGAGAATTCGTTTTCCGTCATGTATATGTTCAGTAAGCTGACTGAATAAAAAAGGTCGTATTTTATAACACAAATTTTTTACTAATTCGTAATCGGGGAGACCTTTTGTATGATGAGGGGTCCAATATACTATATGTAGCATGCTGCATTAGTAGGTTGTTTACAGCAGCAAAATCCAAATCTTTTGGTATGACATTAAATTGATCAACCACTAGGTTGCTTCATGATGATGAGTATAATTAGCTTTTGGACCACCGTAAAATTAATGATGAGTTTTAATTTTTACTACAGCTGTTGTCATTCAACTTTAATGCTTTTTAACATTAGTTTTAATTGGGAGTATGAATAACAACAGCTATAGCAGTTGTGACAATATATACATATAGCAACCTACAAGAATCACAATTCAGAGACCGACAAATATTTCAAACCATACATTATTTACTCTAATTTTTATGACCAGACAGCCCCCTACACATGCACACTCCACAAAATAATTAATACGATCCGTCTGTCTCATTTTACTTGATCACTATAAGTGTCTGTTTTTAACAAATCAACCCATTATAAAGTTTTGCTTATGTTTTAAAATCATATTTATTATTAAACAGCTCATAATGTGCAAGAGCTGTTAAATAGATAAAGAAAGACATCTTTATTTATCTTTTTACCTTAATTAGCAAAAAGATAATTTTCTTGCATTTTCCTTAATTAGCATGAAGTCAAAATATAATTACTTTCGAATATTAAAGTCAGTTTAAAACTTTAGTATTTGAAGTAATATATAGTGATTGTAAATTATGTTTACATGACAGGAAGAGCGTTCATTTACTCCAATTATAATAATCTTTTTAAAAAGACCATTAGGACTAACCCAAGACAATATTATACATTGATACTACTAATTGTATACTTTTTAATTTGGAATTATTTTTATGCACGCGTTCTGATTACTGGAAAAAGGCATTACTATAGCATTTAAAATAAATAAGTATAATAAAGTGAGGCCATTATAGGAGGTACGTAATTTGTGCAGTAATTGCTCCCTACTTGAAAGGTTCCTATATATAATCTGTTGATTTGCACAAATAATATGAAAATTATTTTCGCCAGAACTGTATATAACTTAAATTCAATAATAAGTGGTCGTTGAGCCATGTTTCCACAATTTTTTAAAAAATAATTTTTAATTTCAAAATAAAAAATGATGATAAATAAAAATATACTGAATAAATAATGATTATCATAAAATACAGGGTTGTTCTAACCCGTTGGCCATTAAAGCCATTACTTGGGCCTCATATATTTTGGAGGTCCATTTTTTAAAAAATAATTACTTATATATGTTATTTTTAAAAAAATAAATTATATGTATTATGACCGTTATGATTTCTGCAAAGCAAATTGTATATCAGATAAAAATAAATCTGAATTCGTTAAAAACAATTTGATCAAAATATGAATAGCGAAAAATCTTTAAGTGTTTATTGCTTTATATATGTAGGGTAGATCAAACTATTTTTTCACTTCATAATAGATTCGAACCAATTGAAGCATATGGAAAATATTTTTGATTTCTTATTTAGTGGTAAATATTGAGATGGTGAGAATTTCAAAAATATTGTCTTAACCTTGAACTTTCTTTAACATGTAGTAGTTATTCTGATATTTGATGATTTAGATTTATTCATTTGAATTAAAGTGTCAAGGAAAATAATACAAGTAGAAGATAATGATCTAACAAAAATACTCAATGAAATAAAAAAAAATTGATTCTTTTTCAATGTTAACAGTTCCGTAAGTGTTACCTCAATCGAAAGAAGTTTTTTTATAAAATTGATTAAATATTCTTTAAGATCAACATTATTTCAAGAAAAATTGAATGAATTAGCTTTATCACCATTTAGAAATGAATTATTAAAATAAATTGATTATAAAATAATACCTAACTTCGCATCTTAAATAGGTAAAAAAAAAGATTCTAAATAAAAATATATATAATAAAAAAAATATTGAAACTCCTCTCTTAAATTTCGCTTTAAACTCTTAATATTATTGAATCGACCGGATAAAATAAATCAATTTTGATAATTTAGGAGTGTGTGACCTACTAGAAATAAAAGCAACGCACGGCAAAGTTACTGCAGTTTCCCATTCGCTGGCTTATACGGATTAATAAATATTTCGACAATATCATTTTCATAGCAGTATAATATTTTCTTCATTTTGTATTAATCGTCAATTGTCTGCTTTACATGCTTAAAAATATATATTTATAATTAGGGAAAATGGTTTAAAATATCCTTAAAATGTTAGAAATGACATAAAATTATCCTTCATCTATTTATTGACTTCAAAATATTATTTTTAACCACATATTTGTTTCAAAATATTTTTGTAGTTCTTTTGGGTTCAAACTTAAACACTTATTTAGCAATTTTAAATTTAAAATATTTAATTTTTTTTTTAAATATGTGATGCTCAATTATTTGTTATAATTTAACTTATTAATATAATTATAAATCAATTAACTACACGTCCATTACTAATTAAACTCACCTGATTAATAAACATGTCCCATTACTAATGTAGCAACATGAAAGTTAGTGTCAATGAATGTTTCTAAAATATTGAGAAAAAAATGTCTATAGAAATACATTATCAAACGTTCAAATCCTCAATCAAAACATATTATATATCAAGTATCTAAATAAAATTATCGATAAACTTAAAAGTCTCACTATGTTCATCTTAATTATTTTTTCGTCTCAATTATGTGATGTTAATTAATAAATAACGTCTTTTTAAAAATAATATATTGAAGTTTTAATATTTAAACCAAATCATAAATATTTATGAAGTTATATTAAAAAATAGTACATGAATTAATTCGAAATGCTTACTTATTTACCATTAATCATGAATTTTGAATTCAAGCTTGAAAGAGAATCCTATTGAAAGTGTCCTCCTAAATAAATGACTCAATCTAAATTTAATTGAGCCTTCGATTCGGACTCGAATAATTTTGAATGTTATTTTGACGAATATGTAATTTCGTCGTGTTTTAGTAGTGTTTAGGGTGATTTTGATATTAGAATTGGTTTATTAATTGGGTAGGGATTAATTAATATTAGTGGGTAGTGGGTTGATTTATAAATCATACTAATAAATTAAATTATAATGAATAATTGAGCGCCAAAAATATTTTTTAAAAATATTGAAACAATTTAAATTTAAAACCGTTAAATAAGTGATCAATTTTAAACTCAAAGATGGATGACAGAGATATTTTTGAAGTCAATAGGTGAATAATAAGGACATTTTGAAGCCAATAAATGGATGGAGGATAGTTTTGTATCATTTCCAATACTTCGAGAGTGTTTTTGGTTTTTGTCCGTTTATAATTATTAAAGATAATTTTATTAATTTAATTTAAATGATTTTTATTTTTTTTAAAATTAAATAGCATGAACAAAACGGAAATTAAATTTATTCGCCCCAGAAAATGGATATTTGTGGGACCAATAATAACCTCATACACGTCCTTTTCCTCATATATTCAAACTCAATCTTTGTTTTTCGGGAAATTAGTATTTTAGTCCCTCAAGTATTAGAAAATTATTATATTGGTCCTTGTAACTTTTAGTTCAATACATTTAATCTTCAATTAGTTACTATCTGCATTTTGTATCCCTTCTTATGTATGTTTACAAATTTAACGAATTACTTCATAAAAGTTGTTTAATTCATGTTAGTTTTATGTCGTTATTTTTTATTAAAAATAATTTTTCTAATTCATAAAAATAAATTAAAATCTATATGCGTCTATGTCTAATTCTCTTCGTATTTCACTTATAATATAATTGTTGTACATAATTATTTTGTTGGTCTAATCTTTAAAGAATAATGACCAAGCGATAAAAACCACATAAATCTCTAAACGTGAAGAATAAAGTTAGATTTTCAAAAACAATCTTAGCTGAATATAACTTCCACTCATATTTTGTTCCTTTTTTACTAAAATAATCCGTTTTTGTCATGTATTTTTTTTTACTTTAAACTTGGACATGTGTAATTTTGTAAATAATTAAACAAATAAAAGGAAAAAACAAAAACAAAAAAGGAATAGAGAAGCAATTGGGCGTCAAAGTCAAAATTAGAAAGTCCTAAAAATGCATGAAAAACTGCAAATGCAGATGACAAAGGCTGCACAAGAGACCATTTGTTCACAGTGCTCAGTGAAAAAGCCAAACACTGGCTCAACCCCAAGTGGCACATTTATAACTTTTTTTTATTGGCAATCAGAAAAAGAAAAGAAAAAAAAGTTCATTAGCAATATATACAAAAAGAATTTAAGTACACTCTTACACTTCATTATTTCAACTTAAAAATCTTAAGTTTGTCCTCCTTAGATAAATTATTGTATTCAATGACGGAGTTAAAAATTTATATGTTTTACGTTTCGTAAGATTTCTTATTAAAATTGAATTTTCATCTGTCAATACCACCTTGAGATGTTTATTTTAAAATATGTATGAATATGATCATTAGAAAGTTGTCTTATATAACCCCACACGCCCATGACAAAAAAAAACAAAGGTACAATTACAATAGACTTTATACTATTACTAGTCTTTTATTATTCATTAACAGCAATGGAGTCGAAAGATCTCAACAGTATAAATAATTAGATTTTGGTTCACCTAATTCATCACTTGGCGTTTAATATATCTTATTTTAAAAAATCTTAATTTAAAAATTAATTTTACTATATCGACGATGATCTTCCCAGTTCGATATTAAGTATAACATATGTCAATATTCACATTTAAAAAAAAAGAAAAGAAGCAAACAAACAACGATTTATAAATTATAAATATAACATATAAAAATACCATTAGATACTTAAATAACTTAACCACACACTACTATTTTCGACACGAAGACTAAACATTAAACAAGAATTTCTACTAAAAACTTTGATATAAAAAAAATATATTTACTTTGATTAATTCTCCATAGCCATCCTCAACAAACATCTTGGAAGAAATCATTTGCCCACTTACAAGTCTCCAAATCTTCATCCAACATTCTATTTCCATGAATACTCAACACTTCTGGTAATAATCCCATTCCATCGCTAAAACCTGGTAATAATACATCATCCATCAATGGAGAAGGGGATCGAAAATCGAAGAAATCCTTAAGGAAACTCTGATCCATTAATGGCAAATTATCATCAAACATAAATCCATTTTCATCCATTTCCATTTTTTTGCTCTCATCGTTCATAATTTTAGTATCAATCGCAATCGCATCTTCGTTATCTTTATCATTATTGTTATTATTCTGCCTCAAAACTGAGGTGGGAGAACAGAGGTTTTCACATTCCCCTGTGGAATCATAATCCGATACTGAAGTGATCGCATTTTCCTTTGGGAAAGGTGTCTCAATAAAATTAATGATAGCATCAGCTCCGCGCAATTGAATAGCGGCTATATTATATTTCATAGCCGCTTCTTCAGCGGTATCAAAAGTACCTAACCAAACCCTCGTTTTTTTCACCGGATCTCGAATCTCCGCAGACCATTTTCCCCATGGCCTCTGTCTGACACCGCGAAACTTTTTAACATTCTCATCTCTCTTCAAATCGATCGCTTTCTTCTTCTTCTTATTCGAATTCAACGATTTCCTCACATCTGCAGCAGCCATTTTCTTCTCAAATTTAATCTCTGTAACGTATTTTTTCACTCGATTCCTCTCGTCGTCATCGTCGTCGCTTGAAGAATCAGTAGCATCACAATCAGTGTAACAAATCCGAACAACTTTAGGAGTCCACTTGTTGTGATGATCATACTTAGTAGTGATAGTTTTGTGGACTAATTTCTTTTTGATTTTTTGTGATTCCATTTTTTGAACATGGAAGATAGTGAAATACAGTGAGTTTATAGGAGAGATTTAAAGAGAAATAAAAGGAAGAACAAGTCTTGATGAGTTTAACGACTAGTCAATGAGTGTTGTAGAGAGAGTGAGAGAGAGAAGAGGGAAATATATGGAACAGAATGAAAGAGATTATATGGGAAGAAGATTTCACTTTTGAGTCATTAGTCAAACTTAAATAACTCTATTTTTTCTCATCTTCTTTTTTTTTAAAAAAATCTTACTAATTAATAATGTAATTTCCTTTATTATTTATGCTTACTTTACTTTGAGATAAAAGATAGGAATGTAGTTTTTTTTTTAACTGGATGATAATATATTCGTCTTACTTTAAATCTTATCTGTATTTCAAAGGCAAAGATAAAAATGCTTCGATATTAAACTTTTTTATATTTAAACTTCATTTTATATTATTTTATAATGAGATAAAAGCTAAAACATACTGTTATTAGCGGATATTTATTTTGAAATTTTTCCGTGCCAATAAGATACAAATGAATAGGTCTATTACAGTGAAATATATAAATAATACAATTAAAAGAATAAATTTGATAATTTAATTAAACTGAAGGAAAAATATAAAATGATTTTTTTTTTAAAAAAAAGAATAATGTAATTAACGAAATTAAAATTGTATTTTGCTTAAAAAAAGAGAGGCGGTTAAAACGAGTCGCCGCATGGGAATGTGGGCCAGGTCACTTACGCTCCTTGTTCACCAAGTTTTTGCTCTTTTGTCCCTACGTATCATCAATAATTATTTCTTCTAAATAAAAAAATAATAATAAGAGTAATACTTTTATTGTATTTTGTAAAAAAAAAGAAAAGAAACTTTTACATATTGTTTGGGGTTTGAGAACTCAAAAGCATAAATTATATTAGTATCTTGTGTAGTTTTCAAAAAATGTATTTTATTTATTTCCTTTAAAGAAAAGTAAGATACAAAAATAAAACTGAAAAATAAATGTACTAACTATTCCTTTTATTTATATTATTTTTGTTGGACTGTAAATAATAATATTATCTTTTGTGACACAAAGAATGTATAAAGTTTCTTACTTTATTTTTCTTAAAGGTCCTACTCTATGATTCGTCTTAGACCTATTTTTTCATGTGGTTTCATGTGATTAATTATTGTAAACATATTACACTTCAATTCTTCATCGTTGACACGGTTATCGAAAAATAATAATTAATATAATACATTTATATATTTTATCTATTAATAGATGAAAATTTCAGTATCAATTTACTCATTGAAAAGTTTTATCTTAAAAAATCACTGACTCTCGAAATGTATTAAAAATAAAATAGATAAAAGAATATCGTCTTTTTTTTATCTATTAAAAATAACAAGTAAAAAATTAAAATTGGACAAGTAAAAAAGGACGGGTGTAGTATGTTCTTTATTAAAGAGAGAAGTACTAAAAACACCCTTGAATTTGACGCAGATTATTATTATTTTCGTCCCCAAATTATTGCTAGGCTTAGAAACACTCCTATATGTGGCTAAACTAAGCATAAATACACCCTTCCCATTTAGTTCCACGCTTCTTAAAATATATTTTCTGTCCAACATTATTTGTCCACTATTTAATTGCACACTTCTTAAAAACTTATAAATACACGAATAATTTTACTATATCACTTTATAAATATAATATCTAGAAAAATGTTATAAAAATTAAATATAATTAATGATAAAAATAAATTAAAAACTAAGTGTATTTATTGATTTCAAAAAGTAGACTAATATAAATATTGTTAACATCCAAAATAGTATATGAAGTTTTAAAATATGAAATTAATCTCATAATTTAAAATTTTAAAAATTAGTTAAATTAATTCACGATAATTGTTGTTAAAGGATGCGCTGATGTATCTCCGGGCTAATAATCATCGGCCAAATGTCAGCCAAATACATTCAGCCGATAATTAATTAGTAAATTCCTCAGAAATCTCACGTAACTTTTACTGATTAACAATAAGTATATAATTGATTAAGTAAATCCCTTATTATGCTAATAATCTAAACAAGTGGAGTACTTTTTTTGCTTGTCAACCAAGTACCTAATATTCAAATTCCATGAAAATAGTAGTGTAGACTGTGGAGATCAAATAAAATTGGTAGAAAAGGTCAAAAATGTCTTAATAATCGCATTTAAATACACTATTCATTCATTTATTTCGCTAGAAAAAACCTTTTTGATTACATATTTGGCCAAAATATGTTACAAGTTTGTTTTTTAAATAATAAAAATAAATAAATAAACATTTAATCTTTCGAGATTGGATTGCTTTTTGTTGATCTTCTACATTATCGAAATTAACCTCTAAAGGTCGATTTTGTTTAAAAAAATAAAAATATTTTTTTATTAAATCGAGCTTTAAAATTAGTTTGTTATTTTTCATTTTTCGACTCTAAAAACATCTATTTATGAGGCCAAATATGTAAAAAAAAATTATTCTTTAGAAATATTTTTTCGGACCTTGAGAGGTTGATTATTAATCTTTTTTTTTTCTTTTAAAGAGAAGTTGTTTTGTTCACGATTTTGTAAAAATTCAATCTCAATAGATGAGTTTTTCTCACGAAAAATAAAATTGAAGGTTAAAAATTAGACAAAAGGTTGACAAGAGCATGGTGAAGTCGAAAAATCAGATGAGTTAACCAATTATATAATGTTAGTGTGAATTTCAAAATTCAGAATTGATCATTACTCAAAGGAGACAAGTGAGCCAAAAAATATACAGAGGAAAAAGGTTTGATATACCCTCAAACTTTGTCATTTAGAGCTGATATACCCTTTGTTATGAAAGTGGCTCATATATATCCCTATTTGTAAATAAATGGCTCACGTATACCTTTTTCCTCTAACGGAAATGAAAAAAATAATAATTTTAATCTAAATTTTTATTATTTTTTTTCTAAAAATATAATCCCATATGAGTAAATTTAATCCTTGTCAAACATATTTTTTTTACTTTTTTTGTTTCAATGACTAATTTATAATTATTATTTTGATAATCAAATTTATTTATGTTAATATTCTTGTAAAACTTATTGTAGATAACCAAATTTTTTCTTCGAATACGAAATTAAATTACAATACACACACAAAAAATAGTTTAATTTTTTATTCTTTAAAATAAGGAAAGAAAGAAAACAACAAATTAAGAATAAGAAATTCAAATAATTATAATAAAAAAAGTCAAAAAATAAATATACCTTAAACTTTGATAGAAGAATCATATATACCTCTAAATAATTTTTTTTAAAAATTCGAAGTAATAAAATATAAATTTAAAACTAATTTTTTAACTTCCGTTAAATGAAGGGTATATGTGAGCCATTTTGTAACGGCAGGGGTATATGTGAGCCGTTTGTATAACGGTAAGTGCATATATGAGCCACTTTTATAACGAGGGATATATCAGCTCCAAATGACAAAGTTGAGGGGTATATCAGACCCTTTTCTCAATATATAGTCAAATTTGTTATTTTTAGCAAAACAAGTAGATAAAGAATATGTTACTAGATATTTTGCAAACGGTTAAAGAATTACTATAAGCCCTTCTCAATAAATTGTTATATCACGTGTTTGAATCCTAAACTACTATACCTAATTGAGCATTTTATATTCATCTATTAATTATATGCACAAAAATAATCTAATCTTCAACTTCTTTCATTATTCTTCATAAAAAAAAAGTTTCATATTTGTTTTTATTTTCTTAGTTTACTATGTGTTGCGTATTTGGTTGGAAAATATCAAAAATAAAATATATTAATTCGGTTACCATATGGAATTGGTTACAACACAACATCTTTTATTTGTTTCATTATTAAAAAGATATATTTCGTAATTGCTATTCCTTGCACTCCAAGGTATCAAAATTAGAATGTTTTAAAATTATATGTAAGCGTCTACACAGGTGGATTCAAACTCTAATGTAAATAAGTACGTTAAACACACAATAATAATTGTGTTCTTGGTTAAATATTCAATTGAGTCCTCAATAATTATAAAGTTGTATAATAGTTTTTGACTTTTAGTATATAATGAAATTATGTTTTTATAAAACTAGTTTGTTAAATATTATATTAATTTTTCAACATCAATTTAAAATTTAAAAAATTAATATGATACACTTTTCGTTTTAATCTATCATTGTTAAACAGCTAGTAAATTCAGGAAGTCTTCCTTTTTTGGGTACTTTAATTTTTACATAATTAAGCAAGAGTCCCAATTTGAAAGAAATTTCGTACAGCTGTAACAAGACTACCTATTATAGACTACATGACAAAAGCCAGCAAATAGCATTTTTTTATTTGCCTAATACTTATTTCCATTTATATAGTCATTTTAACAAGGTTGAAAGTGATGCTATTCACTCATTTAGATATCAAATTGAAAGTTGTGTTCGTTTGGCTAATAGTTTTGATTGTTCAAAGATAAGCCTTTCCATTTGTATCGGAATACGCTTCTGATTAAGTTACATATATCGACAATGTAAATTTAAGTTTGCAATGCGACTAGTCATGATATTTTGAGTATAGGGTCCATGTTTTGCCCCTTGGGGTTGTTTCACCATTTCATATTCATGTATATACACTCGGCGACAAAGACAAGACTCAAATTAGGAAAAAGTCGGTTCAAAATACGTTTAATTGGCTTCAATGATTGAGTTTGGTAAATGACACCTTAGGTTAAAAATAAATCTGTTCATCTCTTAAGGGAACAAACATCACTTTTCATAATTGTCATGACCTCAATTCAATATGTTGCTTTCTAGGACAATGATTCATCGATCAAATAGACATAAACAAATGCATGCACCACCAGAAATTACAAGTAACAGTAATAGGAGGACCCAAGACAACCTATTAAAAACAATGTTAGCACAAAAGAAGAACGAAACTATTCACGATTGGAAATTAAACATGAAAAATGTTAAAAAGTTCTATATAAACCATAGAAATCAAAGCTGCAACTTAATCCAGATAAATAACACATTCAAGATTTCTTCAAGTGTTCGTATGTATACAAGAACATTCAAAGCATCTCCATTTTCTTGGAGAGGTCAATCCTTAATGCTATTCTACACTTGTTGATTGGGAAAGTAAAGACAACAGACAAATGAATTAATTTTACAAGGATTAAGACCCTCACATGTAAATATAATGTCTTAACCCATTGCATATTTCTGGGTCCAAACCCGGGCAGTTGATTCGTATTTGGCCCTGTCTGTCTTGTACATGTGAGCGATCTCCGGGACCAGGGGGTCATCAGGGTTTGGGTCCGTCAAAAGTGAGCAAATTGAAAGCAAAACCTGAAGGAAGTACAAAAACCTTTCCCCCTTAATAAATTTATCTATATGCACACTTAAACTTAACCAGTACTCATTGGTCTAAAGAGCTGTACAAAGAGAATACATCAATCAATGAAAACCAATCATGACACCATCACAGAACTTATACATAATTACATTCAATAACACGGCTGAATGGTAATGGACATCTTACATAGAACTGAACTATGTTCACCAGTACTTCAACAGCTAGTATTAGAAATCACAAAGAACCCAAAGGAAAAGTCTCTAATTATCTGTAATGTCCAGTTAAATTATTTGCTTTTTTTTTTAACATGTGATTTGCAAGCTATTGCATAGGAGCGGGGTTTTTACCCTGCACGCACCTAAAGGGTAGAGGCTATGGGTTCCCCTCGTCATGAAAAAAAACATGTGAAATTTTATTTCCTATCCAGCTATCCTTCAGATTAAATACTTCTTTCGGCTAATATCCTTCAGAGTATATAAATTGGCTGATGGCTTCAAAATCTATTTGCAAGGGCTCTTACCAACCAAGACTTCTAAGGTTCTAAAAGAATATCTCTGGTACTTAAGCGTGTATTACTTCTCAGAAGATAAAGATAGCTTGAAAAGTAAAGAACGAACCTTAGAGATAGTTAAGGCAGGGCTCCACTGCTCCTTCAATATGTCGAGGCATATACTGCCATTACTGTTAATATTTGGATGGAAAACTTTTGTCCTAAAAGCAACCTGCAAAGATACATCCTTAACTGTAACACAATAATGTTGACAGGAGAATAACACATGTATAACTAGGCACACATCAAAGTTCTTCCACAATATTACCAGATAACTGTCATAGCTGACGTGTCAAATAGTTGGACGTATACGTATTTTATTTGATAAATGCTATGAAAGTGTACAGAGAGAGAGAGAGAGAGAAAGAACTATGTTGATATTAGCCATGATGTCTTTCCAGAGAGAAGCTATTGCACAATCTCAATCCTTCACCAAGAAGAAATTTGTTCATTTTATAAATGCCGTGCTGAGTATTCTGTTCTGCTGACTTTACAGGAAGCAGGAAGATCCTAGTGTGTTCCATGTTTGTTTGTTTTTTTAATAAGGTGACGAAAAATAACACACTCATAAGATGTTCCCCTGCACATACTCTCAACTCTTACTTAGTAAGTCAATCACCGATAAGCGTAAATTCCATGACAGTGCTCCCACTATTCCTCTTTGGTCACCTATCAAGCAATCGTGAAAAAAAACAAGCACATGCAAAATAAACAAATTGATGAATCAACCCTCTCCCCAACCTTAAAATCTATTCACTATTTTCTCAACCTGAGCTAGTTCATGTAACTTGGGAAAATTGACATCTCAGCTATCCAACAGGTGAAATCAGCAAAACCTACTAGAAAAAAACCAGCAATGGATCCACCACTGACATATCACAAGTTCACAGTCCAGATCTACATATTCTGTTGGGTGCAATGTCCTATTAGCTATGCTCCATGACCAGGAGAACATTACCAGAAAATCTATACCTACGTTATCATTATGAGTTAAATTAGAACACTTCCAAAATCCAACATAACTATGCACCAAGTAGATAAACCTGAAAAATAAATAGGGCACTGGCAAACAGCAGAAATAATTACCAAGGCAGAGGTCATTAACTCATATTAATTTGAACCATTTCATACCTTAGGAGGCTTGAATGGATAGTCAGGAGGAAAATGGATAGTGACTAAAAATACACCACCAGTATAAGGACTGTCTGGGGGACCCATAATTGTGGCCTGCCAGTGAAACATGTCCTCTCCAACAGGGCCTGTTACACATGGTACAAAGGCAAGGAAGACAATAACAGTCAATGATCGATCAGATAGCATATACATCTCTTACAAAGATGCAAGAATATTTACACACCTTGTTGAAGAATTAACAAATTACAAAAGGACCTACAAGGCTTACAAGGTACTCTAGTAGAATATCTCCAAAGGACAGAAAAAGGTAAAGATTCGTATGGAAACAGGAATAGCATTTCAAGGACTATAAATTATGATACACATAATGCACTGGGATGACAATTATTATTCTCTGTGGAAGACATCTAGGCAGGGATTACTTTTTATTCCAAGGCTTAAATATGAATGATATAGTTCTCCATCAACACATGAGAAGAACAAACACAAAGTGGAATGCCTGAACAGAATGCATGATGAATGAACGATATACAGTAAAGCAACACTTCCTACTTGCTTCAAAAAATTATACATTGCTGTGTCGGTTATGTCAAGAGAATCCACTATGTCAAACTATAAACCTTTTTCTTCATTTCAATCAAAAGTCACTTTTTCCAAATATTTTAAAATTAAACAGTAAGTAAATGTTCACCTACCTTACGGATAAAAAGGAATCACTACAGAAAAGTGTTCCGGTCTTCATTAGAAATCCAGAACTATGCTGAAGGATGGAACAAATAGAGATGCTTAAATTCACCAATTTCTCTTAATAGAGCAATGCCTAAACTATAATGCCCGAGGACTGCTCTTCATAATCCAGAAAGCACCCAGAAGGATGAGAACACAGCACTGCATGATGATAAAAAAAAACTACAGCTGACCTCACACGAGAAGGGTTTGTCAAGGGAATCAGGCATTGCCTCTCCAAGAACTAACCTATTAAAAAATTGAGTGGAACTTCTTTTTCCCGAGAGCGACACAGAGTTTGACTCCTACACAGAAATTATCATGGGAGAAGGCATACTCAATCATTCCCAGTTTTTACCACCTTTAGTTGGCCCAGCTTAGCTGTGTATACCTTCCTCATATGGGACCAAAAATTACTCTAAAGTACTTGGTATTCCCGTATGTCAATTAAAGGCAGAGAAGTAAATGAAAGAAGCAAACACAAGGTGGGCAACATTTTATGAATTAAGATCAAGCTCATGTCCCATTCAAGTAAATTTTGAGTTCAAGCTTGTCCTATTCATTGGTAAAGACAGCTAACGTGCAGCTCATTTAAGCTCCGTTTTAATCCATTCTTTTAGATACAAACAATCAACATGCTAATTAAACTAATCAGTTTCCGGTTATTGGGTAACTTCGAAACTCTAACAGAAGAGCAAATGACTTTTATACATTTATGAATGAAAAAGAGGGTAGCAAGTACTGTCCATGCACACACCGCGAGTCAAACAGATCTTTCCCAGGTTCTGTTTTACTAACAATCAAGCAACAAAACGAGCTCAAAATTTGTTTAGTTCACAAATAAATAGGACCTGTTTGAGTTTGACGAGCCTAGTCAAGTTCTGTTCGTCAACATATTGTTCACTAACAACTCTAATTAAAGAAAATTGACAAAGAATTGTTGGGGCTAATATAGTATATATTAAGTATAGACTATAGAGAAAATGGAAGGCAGAACGGAACCGCCTAAAATAGAACTACTAACCAGGGGCTAAAGTAACAAAAGTAGATACATAATATAGCGTGTGATCAAACAATCAAAACTCAAAAAAATGATAATGACCAGGTAGCATGTGATTGAGGGATTGATTGTGTAATGAATGAATAATAAACAATTAAACTTAACAAAAACTTCTCAGTTCACCTGCATCACATTATTTTCATAGTAACCAAATTATTTGATTGACAGAAAGATCCATCAGAGACAAGAGGAGATATTCTTAAAGTTACATTTGTCTTCTATTTCTCTCCTAGATAAAGAGAGTAAGCATTCGATTGGAACACACATACGTTAAAAGCAACTCAATTTACTTTCTATATCAGCGTTCAACAATTGATCCAGGACGTTAAGTTTACCAACAATCAAGCATCAAAACAAGGTATAAAAAATGCAAACCATCTCATCAATGTTGAGCCTGAATAAATAAATCAATTTCTGAAACTAATTAAAAGTTTAACCTGATTTGAATAGCAAGTAAGAAACAATAAGATACTTACACACAAAAAAAAAAGATACATCAGCAGAAAATTCAAAACATTACGCAAAAACATGTATTGAGAAAAAGGAAAAAAGAAGGATACCGGCGCTGCAAGAGGTGGGAGGATCCTTCTGAAGATCCTTGAGTTCCTTCAATATCCGTTTCGAAGCCATCACAGCGAAAAATAACCGAAAGAAACACTACCAAAAGTGAAGGAGATCGAGGTCAAATCTGATGTAAACAAAAAGGAAAACGCAGATGAGATGCAAGAATTCACGAAGAAAATATGCAGAAACCGGAAGCGTGAAGAACCTGCTTACAGAATTGATTCTCTTCTTTGTTTGTTTGTTGTTGCCTCTTAACGCCAACAACACCCCTTTTTCCCCAATATATATTTATATATTACTACTCCACCTCGGCGGTCCAATCATTTCAAATATGCAAATCTTTTTTTTTAAATCAATCTCTTTTTTAGTCTCAAAATAATTTTGAAAATCTGATTAAAATTATTTTATTTTTATTATGAACTGTAAAATTGTTTTTTCCAATTATATTTAGAATATGTAAAATTATCATTTTATTTATTATCTACTATTAATTAGTGTGTATAGTTAATATTGGACTGATAAAATGGGTGAAATGAGTAATTAGAATTAGTGTTTGACTAATTTACTTTTTATTTCGAGACAACGCTTATTTGCGTATTATAATTGAGATATTCATAGTATTTAAAAATAATTAATATTGAAAATAAAATAGAAAAAAAGATGATTCAATCTTAAACTTTTAAAGACCCTGAATAATTTGAAACAAATATTTTTAATAAACACAATAAATATTTTTAAAAAGAGATAGAATTATGTAATATAATTATAACTGTGTGAATACATTTTTGGAAAGCGGATGGTAATGAAAATTTAACAAACTTTCATAACTAATAAGACTTGGAAATGTTTTAAATTGGTAAGGTGGGTGGAATAAGTTTTTTTTTAAAAAATCAATAAATAATTGAGGTGTATATATATATATATATAATAATAAAATTGAGTTAATCTTTTGAGTTTTGGTCTCCACGAGGTTGTTCACCCACTGCTTTCCTCAACTTTTGACCACAAAAATCTCCAAAAAGATAACCAACTCTATGAACATCAATATTAGGAAGGATTTGAATTCACTATTTTTGATTAAGGATAAAAGATGCTTAATATTTTTGCATAATTTTTTTGTTGAATTATTAACTAGATGAAAAGTAACGCATAATATATCCCTAATTATTTTTGTGATTTTTTCATAATACTATAAATTTTGAATTTGATATAGATGTTTGAGTTAATATATACATTATGAGCGATAAAATATCTCTATATCAGAGTTTTTCTAAGATTTAAGATTTATAACTTTTGTTTGTATTGTGTCATATGAAAATGATTACTTCTACTTAATTTGGACAAATTACCAATATGAAAAAATTATCTCATATTTTTTGCATCCTTAAAAATTAAATATAAGATCTCATAATTTTCCATTAACATTATTAATCATCAGATTGTTTTCTTTTTAGTCAAGAAAAATAATCTTTTTGCTTCAATATAACAAATTTTAATAAAATTTTTGTAAGTTGAACTAGTAACTCCATGAAAATTTCGTAGGGCTTGAATGGCATATTTAAACTTTTAAAAAATACAAATTCAGCAAATAGTAGGGGTGGAGGTTCGTTTGATTTTGTCAAACTTTTGATTTGATTTTTATGTTTTCCTTTTTTTAATAGTGTGCATCAAATTACTTTACTTGTTCAATTTTTTTTTCAAATTTGATTTTATTAAATTATATTTAAAATTCTTTTTTTTTTTGATAGTTATGAAGAATATCAATAATGAAAATAATACTTCACAAATGAATTATACACAAGTTTGTTTGATTTAATCTTATATAAAGTCATGTTAATGTCTTTCTCTTTTACTAATTAATGTTTTGACTACTTTATTTTTAGATACATCTCGAATTGGAGTCCGGAGCCTAAAGGGTACAAAATATTAACAAAAAATTTAAAACGGTATATAAAATTTTATATTAACCAAAACGGTAAAATCGTTGCACCAACAGCGACTTATCCCACCGGAAAAAATAAAATCTCTGCCTCTGCAGCGATTTTGCAAAATTTGATTTTTTAAAAAAATAAAATCGCTGCCTAAGCTGTGATTTATAGAAAGAACTTTTTTTTTTACAAAATCGCTGCCCCAGCAGCGATTTCTTCAAAAAAAAAATTAAAAAAATAAAGAAACTGCTGGGGCAGCGATTTCATAAAAGAAAATTTTTCTTTTTTAAAAAAAATTAAGGAAATCGCTGCCCCTGTAGCGATTTCCTTAATTAATTTTTTTTTAAAGAAATCACTGATGGGCTGCTTAGGCAGCGATTTCATTTTTTTAAAAAAATCAGATTTTTGCAAAATCGCTACCTCTGCAGCGATTTTGCTTTTTCCGGTGGGGTAAGTCGCTGTTGGTGCAGCGATTTTACCGTTTTGGTTGATATAAAATTTTATATATCGTTTTGAAATTTTTATTAATATTTTGTACCCTTTAGGCTCCGAACTCTCTCGAATTGATTTTGCCATTCCCAATAGTTGAACTTTTTTGACAACTTTGACCTTTAAAATTTTAACCATATATTTTTTTTAAATTACTCCCTGTGTTTCACAAAGAATGACCTAATTTGATTTGGTACAGAGTTTAATAGTATAAAAAATACTTTCGTATCGTGTGATTAAAGTTAATTTAAATGTATAAAATTATCCTTTAATTATGTGGCCTTAAAAATACCGCATGAAAGCTAATTTTAAAATGTTAAAAAAAAAAGAAATCATCAATTATAAACAGACTAAAAAAAAACATGTTATTTATTTTGAAACAGATGGAGTAATAATCATGGTGTGGACTAGTTTTGCACATCTCTCTTTTATTTTTGAAGAGAATGTTGGAATATAAAAGTAAAACTCAATCAAACAACTAAAAGGTAGCTGAATTGTTGAATGTTCACAAAAACAAAAAGAAACAAAATAAACCTAAAAAAAACACCCAAGTACTACAAACATAGAACCAAAAGACAAATTAATGTTGATTGAGTTTAATTTTTTTATATTCACGCCTACCCCTAATAAAGTTTTCCCATATTTTAGCTACACATATATTTATCTTTTTTGAAAATGAAAAGTGGTAATGGGCAGAAAATTTAAAAAATTATAATATTATTTTTTAAAAAAATAACTTGATCTTTTTTTATATTCTAGTAAAAAGTATTAAAGTTAAAAAGGTAAAAATATTTTGAAATAAGTGTCAAAAACACACCTAAATTATTCACCTTTTTTAAGTTTTTTTACCTAAGTTATTAGAAGTATGAGCTCCATACCTAAACTATCAGTTTTTAGTTTGAGAAACACATCTCAATGGTGTGTGTAATACATTCTCTCTTTTATATGAAAAAACTTTGACACATGGCATTCCACAAATAAAATATTTTATCTAGATAAAAATTAAATAATAAAAAATTAATATTAGTTAAAAATAAAGATTAATATCCAAATAAAAAAATTAAATTATTTTTCTCATCTCACTCCACTATCTCCTCTACGTACCCCCTCCTCCGCGACAACCCCATCTTTTTTTTAAAAAAAAAGAATCATTTATAAAATATTTTTAAAAATTTCATATTTTAGTTTTCGCTCCGATTTTTTTTTTAACGTTTTTTTCTTATTTTGTGTTAGATATGCACGTACATATTTTTTTTTATAAAAAATCTACTAGTGTACCGAATATAACATAAACAACTAAAAAAATGTAAAAAGTCTTGTGGCGGCAAGTAAACATATTTTCGATATACTTATCTAAACACTAGAGAAAAAAATTGAAAGCGGATGATTAAGTGGGATGGATAGAATTATACTTTTAAGAAAATAAAATAATATCTAAATTAGTATTTGACGAGGGGAGGAGATGAAGTAAAAAATGAAATACTTCTATGAAAGAAATTCAAACAAAATAAAAAACTTTAAAAAATGGTGTGGGGTAAGAAAAATATTTTATATTTTATTTTATAAAGAAAATATTATTTCTTATAATTGTTTTTAATTTTTAATTTAACTAATACTAATAATTTATTTATTTTTTGTCAAGGTTGAATGTTTTGTCCATGTGGAGTGTGATATGGAAATTCTTTAAAATAAACGAGAGTGTTTATATTATACATACCATGATGAGAGTGATATAAAAGAGAGATGTGTTTCTCAAACTAAAAAATGATAGTTTAGGTTTGAAATTCAAATTTTCAATAGTTAAGGTATGAAACTCCAAAAAAAAAAATGGTTTAGGTGTGTTTTGACACTTATCTCAAATATATTTATAAAAAGTAAAATTACACAGAAAAAATTGCTAGTAGTGTTAAAAAAAAATAGGAAAATTGTATCTAATACAAATTAATAAATCAAATTGAATGCTGTAACCACACTTTAATTTAATTGTACCCCGTAGCAAATTGTTTGTCAGTCACCTTTCTCCCTCAAACTCTCACTCGCCACTCTCCTTCTCTCGCTCACTCCCTCTCACTTTTATACAAACACGAGTGTATAAAATGTATTTCTGTTTGTATAAAGCGAGAAAAAAATTGTATATATACATACATTTTCGTTCCCCTCTCTCCCCTCTTCCAGACCTCGCTCGCCACTCTTCAGATCTCACTCGCCACCCTCGCCTCTATCGCTTGTAAAAATAGAAACGAAATGTATAGATTGTGTTTCTTTTTGTGTAAAGTGAGAGAAAATTGTATATACACTTGCAAATACATATATCTTCGTCCCATACACTTATAATTATACAATACTAAAATTTCATTGCCCAATTTTATTTTATCTTTCTCTCTTTCTCGTTTTATACATACACAAATTATACAATTAATTTGTATACAACTGCTTTCTTTTATATATGTATAACGAATTATACAATTGATTTATTTATATATATATATATATAACGAATAATATATATTTTTATTTGCTATACAACGTAATTATACAATTTTGGTATAACATAAAAATATAAATTTGATGCTTACTACGTGTGTGAAAGTTGCTCTTCAAATTATGCAAAATTTGAGACAAACTTTTATAATTTTTTTTGCTGGGAAGATACAAATATAAAAATAAAATCCCAAAATACCAAATGCCAAAACCCTGATTTGCTCTAAAACCTCAGGAAATTGGCACACTCCAACTATTCCAGCCTCCTTCTCCGGCCGAACAAAAATGGAGTACGTTAATCCTGAAGGTCTCCGTTTAGATGGTCGCCGTCCAATGGAGGTTTCTTGCTCTCTCATCACTAAATTTCTACCTTTTTAATCGTTATCTTCATTCTCTTATTACTTTGATTCGTCTGTGCCCGTGTTTACTTTCAGATGAGACAACTTCGTGCTGAAATAGGGGTTGTATCGAGAGCAGATGGGTAACTACTTAGACTTCTATCTAATTGCATTATTAAGTTATTCTATACGTCAATTTGTGACTAATTTATCTTTTTTGAGTTTAATTAATTGGTCTGGTGCTAAATATGGGTTAGTTCTGTAGTTAGGTTATGTTTTTGATAGGCTGCTATTTTATTGTACCTGCAACTGAGTTTGTTTACTCTGATTATTTGCAGTTCTGCCTCGTTTGAAATGGGGAATACCAAAGTCATTGCAGCAGTTTATGGTCCTCGGGAGGTAAATTCACGTAATACTCAGTCTGTTGATTTTGACTCTTTTTGGATTATGAATCAAATTATTTGTTATTTGTTGGTATTATTGTCTAGGTGAAGTAATGGTTTTTGAACTGAAAATAAAAGGAGGGAAGTTGTTTGTCTAAAAATAACAGCTTGTGTGATATTGTGTTCCATGATGGAGGGAATGTGGCTTGGTAAAACAAGATTTTTTTATGGGTTGCCTGCTAACTTTTGAAGTGTGGGGTGGTGGAAGCACGGCATATTCGATAGTTTAGTTTTTTGCACTAAGTTCTCTGAGAAACCTGATCAATTGGTTCTTCATTGATAGGCATGAATATGGCAAGGCAATGTGGGTCTGGCGTGGAGAAGGTTCTGAATATTTAGTATGAAATTAATTAACTTAATGCCTAGCATTAGTCAATAAATGAGAAAATAATAAGCTAATGAAATAAAATTATTGTAAAAGTATAAGGTAAAAACCTATAAAGGTTAAGAGAGACAAATACTAGAAGGAAATCAACAGGAAGCCTGATGAAAGGAAAAAGGGTGCTGGAACCATAAAAAAGCACATAGGAATCGGAAAAGAATGATAGAACCATTAAAAGCATTAACGAAGCCATATTTGATATTCCTTGCTTCATGTAATTCATAATATACAAAATCCTCTACCAGCCCTGCCTTGTGAAGTTGCCTCCTAAAAATTTGATTGGATATCCTGTTGTCTTCCTCATTAAGGTTTTCCTTTTGATGCACTAAAGTAATTAATTGATCAGCATCTGAGATCCCTATCAGCACAAAAGTGAAAAATTTGGTTAGCTTTGGTACATTTTTTTTGATAAAGTAAATAGTTTTATTAATAATAGGAAAACCTCCAGTGTACAAGCAATAACAACATACCTAGTGAAGCCACAAGTGGGGTCGGGTAGGATGTACGCAGACTTTACCTTTGTTGGGGCAGAGAGGCGGTTTCCCTTAGTCCCTCTACTCTAAGGAAGTATAATCAAAGCAGGATTGAATTTTATTAAATTTAATTGGTTAACACTTGTGTAATAAGGAGTTTCTTGAGATTGATTCAGGCAAAGTATTTTTGTTTGAGTTAATGCTCGCTGATGAAGGTTTTTAGCCTAGCAGGAAAAAAAATGGAAATAGGATACTGCTATTGTAGAAGACCTGTGTAAATTCGGACTTTGTCCGTTTTGAAAGCTTTGTCAATTTGCGAAGTACAACTGCGAATTTGTGCTTGCCTTCAGACATCTTCTCCATAATTTAGTTGGTTTGTTGTTTTTCGTGTCAGTTGGTCCTGCAGTAATTAATTTATTGTAGGAATAGTAAAAAAAAAGCAGATACATAACTAGGTTGTACCCTTCCAGTGTGCCCCAGGTGGTTTGGGCTTGGGACTTCCATGTTGGATGTCTCAAGTTTGAAACCCCTTGCCAAGGAAAGCAAGGGGTTTGCCTTATGGGTCGAGCTCGTCGCACCAAGCTTGCCTAGTGCGGGTTACCTCTCTTGTGTGGTTTGCAAGCTATTATATAGGAGCGGGGGTCTTACCTATGTGCACCCTAAGGGTAGCGGCTGCGGATTTCTCTCGTCATTAAAAAAAATATTACTAGGTTGTAAACTTTATCACAGGGACTTAAGAGGATCTTGATTCACTAGGAGTTAAAAGTTTGAAATGCATACTAGTATGTCTAAATGCCAATAACTGTCTTCAACATAGGAAGTGTTGTATAAGAAGTGTTTATCAAGGATTAGAATAAGCAGGAGGAATTATGCAAAGGATGCAATTACCATTGTACCAAAATCAGTTGTTGTATGTGCTAGCACGTCAAAGTTATAGTTCTCAACGGAACTTCTGTTGCTGCTTAAAATGGATGGTGTCTGCGGAAGTTTAGGTTGAATTTTAGGATGTTGAGTGTGTAGTATGGATGCATCATTGCAGCAAACTGCCTAGAACGGCATTAAGCTCAATTATAGAAGATGGCATCCAGTCCAGTTTTTGCGGAAGAAAGCTCCTAAGATACCGGATGTTGCAATTATCCACGATCAAATTAGTGCCTGTTGTTCTTGGGTGCTCAGTGCATTGAACATCCATCCAACAAGGAAAATGAGGGAAAATTTACACTTGGTGCTTTATTTTTTTGAAGTAAGACTTGTATATCACACTGGTATGCAAATTGGATACCAGTAATGTACTTTTGCAAAAAGTATCTAATCACTACCTCTGTGATCAATGATAAAGATATCAGTCTTAATTTTGATATATATAAAGGTTCATTCAAATGTCTCAATTGTTAGTTTCATCATTCAGGTTAAGAACAGGAGCCAACAGATGAATGACCAGGCACTGGTAAACTACCTTTCATGATGAATTCTTATACTGCAAGATGTATAACCTTAAAAGTGAGATGATATGATTTTACTTGTCACTCTTTAGGTACGTTGCGAGTATAGCATGGCTAATTTCAGCACTGGCGATCGCCGGAGAAAAACAAAGGGTGACAGGTGATTCCATGTTACCTTGTCAGTCTCTTTTTCCCTTTTATTTTATGTGTTTTCAGTTTTCACCCATGCAATTATATCATCTTGCTCTGCTGACAGTTCCATTATAATTAAAATGAACTCTGCACGTGTGCTTGAAATTCAATGGACAATATTCTACAGAACTGGTGCTGGTAGAAGAAAAGTTGTCCCAACTCTGAACTGTAGCTATTTAGGGTTCAAAAGATGGAAGGCATACAGAGCACTAACGGTTGTTGGATGGACAAGCAAACATATTCTATAGGTGTTGAGCTTTTGTGGGTAGTTCGTTAGGGTGTAAGGTATAGTGATTGTGGATTTGGCGCACGTCATGGGCTCAAACTCTGCCTCTGATACAAGCCTGGTATTTATGTGCGAAGGGTGGAGGGCTGGCTTTCCACTGAATTTTAAACCTTGAGCCATTTTTCCTTGCTGATTTCTTGGTTATTTAAAAAAGAAAATATTCTATAACCTAATGGAAGACTTTGGAGCTCTTTAAGCACTTGTCCAGCCAAGAAAGATGCTACTAGGATACTAGGATAGTAACTATAGTCTGTAGTAGAAAAGGAATTAGAATCTTAGGAATACTTGTAGTGCCCAAAAATATTATTTAATGGTAAGGCTGCATAAGACGGTTGAACAAATGTTCCACAGACAATGCAAAAATTATCTTGAAATGAAGCTAGGTAGTAAACACAGTTCACGAATCACTAATCTTAATATGCCAACTCTTAATTTATCGTCTATAATTACCTACAATTAACCAAGAAAATTATTCAATCTATGATATTCTTTTAAGGAGAAATTATTCAATCTATGACACCGACAATTAACTAAGAAAAGTTATTCAATTTGTGTTACTTCTGGTTACACGATGTCTATTCGATGATACCTATGTTTTCAATTCTTAGGAGATCCACGGAGATATCTCTTGTTATTCGCCAGACAATGGAAGCTTGCATATTGACACACCTGATGCCTCGCTCTCAGGTTCGTAGTCCGCTTAATCTCTTTAACTTGAATAAGTTATGTAGTCTGACCTCCATTTATAGTTCCTTGATATTTTGCTTTTCAGATAGACATTTATGTCCAAGTCCTCCAAGCAGATGGAGGTAATCAGCACGGTGTTTAGTGTTCTATTCTTCTGTTCTTCAGAATCAATCAGAAATTCGGAATAGATATTAGCTGTCTGGCACTGCATGCAGCCCATATTTTGTAGTTCTATTATATTTTCCCTCTAGAAGTGCATTCTAACTAAGTTAGCACATTATTTAGGTACAAGATCAGCATGCATAAATGCTGCCACACTGGCACTTGCTGACGCCGGGATTCCCATGCGTGATCTTGTTACATCATGCAGTGCTGGATATCTGAATAGCACACCTCTTCTTGGTAAATTAATTCCGAAAAATTTAGTTGATTTTCCGGTTCTTTATTTTAACAATATCATTCTTTTCCAGTATTAATATGTGAATGATCTAGTTGACGTTACTTGTTAAAACAGATTTAAACTACTTGGAAGACAGTGCTGGAGGTGCTGATGTCACTGTAGGAATTTTACCTAAGTTGGACAAAGTGACCCTTCTGCAGGTTTGTTGACTCCTATTACGAATGAAATAAGGCTTTTGGCCTGGTGGATTGATGATAACCTTCTGTGCTGCAGATGGATGCTAAACTACCAATGGATATTTTTGAAAATGTCATGCAATTAGCAGTTGAAGGCTGCAAAGCAGTAGAAAGCCACATCCGAGAAGTAAGACTGACAACTCATTGCCTTCTTACCTACTTCATATAATTATTTCTGTAAAATTTTCTACTCTTAGCATCTCCTGTTGCTCTTTTTGCAGATATTGTTAGAAAATGCTCAGACATTGGTCATTCGCCAAGGGTATGGCTCTTAACAGGCCGAGGAATTTTTATTGAGTCTTTGGTAAGATGATGCCCTTCCTGATTATCTAATGCTGGTGAACATTTTTGGTCAAGATTGCTAATGTTTTCTCAAGGAAAATGAGAAGCAAAGAAAATTTGTGAGAGTCTTGCTTGTTTCTTCCATATTATTCCTGTAGCATTCTTTATCTCCTTTTCCAGCGGGTGGGGGTTAAGGGTGGTTTTAGGAATCAAAAAATATGTTCAGTCAAGTACCATGATACTTTTTTGTGGTGACAAATAATTGAAGTTTGGTGAGGGAAAATATATTGCAATTAGTGCAACGTATAGGCTAGTCTGTACTCGAATGAGTTCATTTAACTAGTTCTGTGGATAATATATGGCGGAATCTTGTAGCATAAATTGGTAATTTTCAGGTTTGACATAGTAAATATGGTGTCTTAAATTTTTCTCTGCATGCTGTTTCTGGCATTGCGTTGGTAAAATTTTCAATTGCCACTAGGATTATAATCTGTGCCAATTATCCACAGAACTAGTTCCAATTGCCACTAGGATTACAATCTGTGCCAATTAAGAAAGTGCAATTTATATGTAAATCACAACGTTATCTAATTCCTCTACCTTTTCTACATGATGCAACACTCAAAAAATCAGTCTTTACCTTTTCCTATTTAATTTTTTTAGGCACTTACCTATGCAGATTATTTGACCCATGGTTCATTCTGCTTGTTTCCAAATTGCAGCAATACCTGAAGGAAAAAAGGAGTCCTGGATTTGCTGCTGCAATTTTTTTTTAAAACAATGGTTGATCAAAATGTATTAAGAGTACTATTCAGCCAGAGCTTGTGGAAAAATGATTTCTCCTAATGTATTCTTCACTTTGCCTATGGTCTTTTTTTGCTATGTCACGCTGCTTTTAGGGTGTGTATTTATGGAAATTGATGATTAATGTACAAGTTAAAAGTTATTGGAATAAAGGAACAAGGCTTTGCAGTGTTGTTACTTCAAATCACAGGAAAGTAGGTTTGGTCTACTAATACGTCATCAATCATCAAAGACAGCCAGTTACACAAACCTGAAAAGTACATTGCAATGCAAAAACAACTTGACTCTTCAAAAGACACAACACCAAGCAGCCATTCTAAAAAAAAGATAGGCTTTGGTGGCTCAACTTCATAACATCATTAACAAGCAAATAAACCTAGTATAGATAGAGTATACGGTCCCTCGTTAAGCTATAAGTTGCTGAGCATTACTAAAATGTTTCAAAGATCACAAAAACTTGATGGCACGGCCACAAGCTCTACACGACCGGTCCATTCCTCTCCTGGCTTCAAGGTGATGGGTTTTTCTATTGCTGCTCCATCAACACAAAGCATCTGTTTATACTCATCATCACCAAAATCCACCATTGCTTTGGCTTTCTTCTCCCATGGATTCCACACCACTGGAAAAAGACAAAGATACCAAAAGTTTTAGATATACATACTATAATTGGTATGATCTAGGGATTACAGATATTATCAGGTCTTTTAAGACAAGAATACATGACTAGAGATACTGAACTAAATCCTGGTAAGACTTTAGCCTAAAGGGTACAACAAACGTTAGTGGATACTTCCAAATGATGACCCTCCATGTTAAATTGAAGATACTTACCAGTATCTGGCAGTCCTTCCTTCCTTATCAGATATGTCCGTTTCCTTTCATGATCAAGAACAGCAATGCGATTAGGAGAACTAAGGTAGACACGGTCCATCTGCAAGAAACATAAATACTTGTCAATCCTATAATAAAAGGAATACCTTCCAGTTAAAAGAACATATCAATTTACAAACGTAGAAATAATGCCATCAAATGCTAAATATTTCGACTTTCTTCCAAGTAAAATCCAGAAACAACATAAGATGTTAAAGTGTCATTTCTTCAAATGGGTGAAAAGGAGCACAACGATTAAGAGGACTGAAGTAGCATACGAAGTGGATTTTCTTTCATGCGTATTAAGTTAGAGAAAAATGTTTAAAATGTCAGAATTAATTTCCTTGCATCTTTGGGAACAATTCTTGATAAAGAAAAGAATATCTGAAAGATTGGCAAACCTAAATTCATATCTAACCAACAGAAGTTCATTCAAATTCCCAAGGATGTCTAACCGATTGAAGTTACCATCTTCGATATATGAAGGAACTTCAATTAGAGAGACATGGACTTTGTTTTGACAACCTTTGAGACACTCTTTTCTTTGTTTTGCCTCGGCTGCAAATCAAACATGAGACCTCATGGTGCCCAACCCACTTCATTAACCACTAGGCCACATCCCTTGGATGCATGTAAATATATAGTTCTATCCTTTTGACATTTTGAACTAGCAATAATTGTTAATAATTACTTGAACTTTCTTGTTTTTGTATTTTATTCTTAACATAATTTAGTAAAGCATGAAAGAAATCCCACTTTGCTTGCATACCTTCGTCCTCTTAATCTGTTCACTCCAAGTAGATTAAGGACTAAGGATATACTGCAAGGACAATGTCTAGACAATTAGCTTTAGAACTATAATACAAATGACCATACACATCCCTCAATTATACCCAACGCTTACGATACATCCTTGCCCTATCACAATAAGCAAAAAGCATCCTAAACTATCCCATACAAGTTACGTCCCTCCATTAGTTTTATGTTCAGAAATAATGGGTTCAACCAGAAGCACAAGGCTATCCCACCAAATTCAATACATTAGTCACCTTCCCTATTTTATGCCACTTGGGACATGAAAGCTGGAGCTAAGGCTAAAAAGATTCAGTAAACCTTAATCTCAAATCAAATTGTTCAGTTGAACTGTTGTAGAAACAAAACAATAATATTCTTACCAAAAATTACAAGATATCTGTTATTTTCAACACATGAACTGTATCTTTGTTATTTTCAGCACATGAATAATTGGTTGCAAGTAAACTTATAAATTGTTTTATGAATTACAAGTAACTATTAATTATACATAAAGACTTCAAGTTATAAAGGTAAAAGACGATTGTGTGTATCTCATTTACACATGGAGAAAACTACTTTTAAAGAGACATTATAATTATACATATAAAGGGTTCAAGAATTATAGACGAATTACGTATCTCATTATAAAGGGTTCAAGATTGTCATAGGGTCTTATATAAAGTTACTCCTGGAGATATCTTATGCCACCATGAATGATGATATTTCATCTTTCATCAATAACCACAAAGTTTTGAGATAATGTAGTTTGTATTGAAATATGTACCTCAGATTCAAAAGTTATGGCATCTCCTTGTTCAGTAAAGCGTTCTTTCTGGCATAGGTTGTCCAGATAGTCCAGTGTTTCTAAACCTTCGATCCTTATTTCACTGTGGATAAGATTTCATGTAATAATCTAAGATATTGGGAAGGACACAAGTCATTAAATCATTGTGCAACACATAATATGATGATGATATAAAACAAAATTGCTGTCTTCTTCTCTGGAATTTGAACTACTACAAAATTTTTGCTGAAAAAAAGTATAAAGATGTCGGGATGGGATAAACTCATTCATGCTTCCAACATCAGTAGAAATGTTGATAAACAGGAAGTCCACCAAAGTAATGAAAGCTCTTCTCTTATAGGAGAGGGGCAATTGAACGAAAAGAAATTGTTCAAGAAGTGGGAGAAAGAATCATAAAAGAAATAGCTTTCAACTAAAGACGCAGATGATGAAGGAAAGTATACTTTAATAATGTAGCTTGCGGAAACCTTAAGAAGGGACATAGGGGCAAAAAGGTATGAAGGTCTAATCGCAGCGCAGTTACAAAAGAATAAAAAGGGAATAACATACCTTATGTCGGAAACAGAGAAGTATGTATGATAAGCAAATGAGAAGCTGAACTGTTTGCCATTAATATTTCTGATCCGAGATATCAAGGACAAGCTTCCATCTGATGCCAGCGTAATCCGGAGGCGAAACTCAAAACTAGAAAGTATTAATGAAGAGACTCATCAGTGCATTCAAAAGCTAAAACTGTAAGAAACCAAGTAAGCATAAAACTGACTTTTGACATGAAATACAGTCAGAAGTACTTCACTTACCTATCTATCTATGAATTGGTTTTCACATCATGGTCAAAATAAACTAGGTACTTTATCTCAGCAGAAAATAATCTTGAAAGCTTCCAATTAAATGAAATCGGAAGTATCCAAATTCAAAGTTAGCTAATTTAAGTCCGTTTTTCCAATTCTTTGATATTTACATAGAAGCCGATTTTATCATCATGTTCTCATGAAGTCATTTTCAAAAGCAAAGAGGATTTTGAGGTACAAAGACTACATGCATTCAACATAAAACAATCGCAGATTTTGATATGGACGACAAATAGCTTTTGATTCAATATCTAAAGCTCCATACTGGAACCACCAAATGTTTGCTAAGCTTGATGACCATACCTGTGGGGCCAGAACTTCAGATCATCTTCTGAAGGTTTGAGCAGCAAGTCAATGAAAGATTTTCCTTGTGGGTCATATGTGAATAAAGATGGAGGGTCATCCTCAATGGTCCAGATTCTGTTTCTTGCGAATCCAAGTTGCTCAAGTGAACCAGCATTTCCATACTGCAGCACAATTAAGATAATCAAACAAAATGCTAAAGAGTACTCACTGGAAGAAATTCAAGAAGATAGATAGAATTGCACATTCAAAGGTACCTGGGGAAAGCAAGCTGAGATTCCTCCTCGTGTAGCTTTTGGAGACTTGAAGATGCTCTAAAACATAAGAGCAATATTAGAATATGAAACAGGAATAGCTTTCACATTTGATCAATTACAAATACAGCTTTCCTCTAAGCACATGGCATTGTAATTTGCAAGCAAAAGATGATTTATAAGTATCCTGTCTACATCAAACAGCAAACTGAAATTGTAGGACTAAACATCCTCAATGAGTCAACTTTGCAAATTTTGCTGACTCTTGCCTACAACAAGCAACATATAGTTCCAACCTTTACACCAAAGACAAGTGATATAGAACTTGAGGGAAAGTTTATAAAAAAAAGAAAAGAAATAGAACTTATAAAGGAAAAGGTCCAATCCTAGAAGCTACAGATCTCCCTCACTAGCCAAAATACAAGTTTTACTCATAAGAATTCACTGCCAGTAAAATGGAAAACCTAACCTTACTGCTATTGAATAGGAGTTCTTCCCCTCGTTCATTCCGCCAAGACGTAACTTGTCCTCCTTGCAAGCTAACCTGAAATAAAGGAAACTGTCAATAACCATAGAGCATTGGGGAAATAAAGGTCTGCTAATCGGAGATCTCATTCCAATTACAACAGGTCAAAAGAGTAATGACATTAATGGCTATGTACTATGTAATTGATAGAAGATTTCGAAGATGATTTCCTCCATTAATGATCTAACAGACGCATTTAGAATCATCAAGGCATTAGATCTAATTAAACATAGAGTTTACAGAATCTAACCCGTGCAGAGGCACCCTGAGGGTTCCGAAGCACAACCTGTTCAATCCCATTCCAATCTTTTGTTACTTCAGTAGCTGCTGTATGATCCCAGACTGCTGCATAGTGCCCCATTTTCTAAGCACTTCTTCCTTGGTTCACAATATCTCTAAGAAAAATCCTTGAAAACCCTTACTATGCTATTTGGACTAAAACTGCTTCCAGCAATGAATCGACCAGACAAATGCCTCCAGTATATATATGATATTTTCGACTATCTTAAACACAACCCTTCCCGGAATCTTGTAATCTAGTGAACCCCACAATACAAAAAATCTTCAACACCAATCTGCCTTTCTATTCTGAACTTTTTCACAAACTCTCACATTCAATGTAAATTTACACAAAACCAACTTTCCTTTACCAGCAAATCAGACTTCTAACTTGAACAACAAAAAGCAACATCATCTTCTTAAGCTACCCCCCCAAGAAACCAACAAAATATGACATTTGGCAACAAAATGTAGTAGTACCCAAATCCTAGCTAAATTCACGGAGCAGCATGTGATATTTACCTAAGGAAAAAGAAAAGTAAATCTTGTAAGTTAATGAAGTTAAAAACACACAAAAAGTTAAAACATTTACTTCAAAAGTGACCTTCTATTACCAGTTCTCTAACCTAGACCACAAAATTCTCAACACAAGATAAAATCCCAAGTTTCAAAACTTTAACAGATTTAGCAAAATCAAGAATTGTCTTTTTTGCACCCCATTAACCTAAAATTTCAAACAACCCCCATTTGTAAAAGTAGTAGTGAAAATGTACCTAATATTTCCAGAAATTACCAACAAAACTTCCAAAGAAAGAAAACCCCATTTCAAGGAAGCAACAAAATATGAATAAAATAGAGTAAAACGTTAAAGATCTCGACTTTATTCAACACGCAGAGTGTAATGTAAACAAGATGGAAGAATAAGTAAACAGTGCATTAATTAACAGCAATTAATACTTAAAACACATATAATAAAGATGTCAAACCTTACTTATAACAGGGCTAATCTTGAAAACTTTGCAAGAGACTCAATTATAATACTGCATTTACAATTAAAGGGTGTTGCAAAAATTGAATCTTTTTTTCTTCTTGACAGAGAAAAACGAGGTACAAGTTGATGTGCAAATGGGGTCAAGATTTTACAAATAAAAAGAGAGGGATTTTTGGGGAGATACAAAGAGGTATGACACTGACTACAGGTGACGATTCAATTTTCAATTATCTTGACAAAACTTCTACGGGAAATTAATAAAATAAATCAAATAAGGAAATAAGTTAAAAGGAAAAACAAAAATTTAAAAACAAAAAAGTTAAAAGGAAAACTTAATGAGAAAATGCAAGAGAACTCAGGTGCTTTTGGAGTGATTTTTCAACGATGTGAAAAAGTTGGAAATTTTATTAAGAGTATATACAAAATTTTAATGTTTATCTTAGAAAATAATTTGGTACATGTATGATTTTTAATATTTATTATTATTATAGAGAAAATTAAGTTTAAGGTGTGTGAAAAAAAAAATTTAGACAAGGAAAAGGAAAGATGAGAGAAAAAAAGTTAAATGAATTTGTATTGTTAAAAATAGGATGTATATAGAGAGAGGTGTTTTTCGATGATTATTTAATTTTTACTAATAAATGATTTGATTGCATTAAAATAAGAAAACAGAAAATAATTTACCAAATAATACGTAGATTTATATAATACTAACTTTTTTACACATCAATGATGGACATTCCCTTTTGAGATAACACATCCTAACATATATCCAAAAACAACTTTTACTTTCAAATACTAAGGTTATTTGGTAGCAGTTGATTAGATTTTAAAGTTATGTCATACATATTTACATATTATTTATGGGGAAATATTTATATTATTTTACATAGAAATTAGTTATATAAAATTTGATCATTTATGTACACTATTAGTCATTTCATTTAATTTACACATAATACTACTTATATATGATATATTATATGTATATTTTACCTTCTAATTAGCTTAGCTATCAAACGACTCTGTTAAGATGTATTTGATATGGATAAAAAGTATTCTGAATAATAAATTTTCTTTACGAGACCAAACTTTTTACAAATAAGAAACTGATTATAGAAATAGAAAAACAAATTTCGTAAATAACTTTTCAAATTCATTATCTCTTTCTAACTTCCATTGCCTCCTTGACCACCCCACTCCACAATCATATTTTATCAACATTACATATATTATATAAATGTGTTTGAAATAATTTATGTTACTTACCGATTAAATATTTATATAAAAATGTGAGAAGATTATTTAAATTTTAAAAATAAATTACGAAAAATATTTTTTTCCGTACCAAATACTAACGATTAATGTAACCACACTTATATCACATCATATAAAAACAAAATATAACAGAAATTTTGTAGTAGTACATGCATGAATATCAATATGGAGTGTTTGTGAATAAAGCGAAATAGATACGTAAGTTCATATACAACTAAGCCGCAATTAAATGATTGATCAATTATAGCAAAAAGAATATTATCCATCTGTCTTATGCAAGTCAAAATCATAAAATTTCATGGGCATCAACATCATTTGTATATAGGTGTTGCATATTAATCAATAAAATATAATAATTAAATTATTAATTTAAATTAAATGTATAACTATTGTTTGATAATTGTATCCCATAACAAACCGTTACTATTTCGCCTCTCTTGTGTTTGTATAAAGCGAGAGAAAATTATATATATATATGTATTATTTTATTTTTCGTTCCCCTCTCTCCCCTCTCCCAGATCTTGCTCGTCGTTCTCCCAGATCTCACTCGCCTCTCTCACTTTATACAAACACATATGTATATATTGCGTTTGTGTTTGTATAAAGCGAGAGAATTATATATACAAATACAAATGCATATATTTTCGTTCTATACACATATGATTGTACACATACGATCTTCCTCTTTTCAGTTTTCTTTTGTCTTTCTCTCTTTGTCGCTTTATACAAACACAGATTATACAATTCATATTTTGTATATGTATACCGAAACGTATTATACAATTACTATCTTTTGTATATGTACAACGAAATATACATATTTATGTTTGCTATAGAGCGCAATTATACAAATTATATCTATATCATACAGATATAATTTTTATGTTTGCTATATGTGAAAGTTTCTCAAAAAATATTATAGTTATATAAATAATGTTATTCAATATTTAACGATAAACTTGTTTTGTAAAATAACAATATACAGATTTTGACGCAATTCCTTCATAAAAAAATTAGTTTTGCCATTATCACTATATGCGTGCCGATAAGAAATAGTAATAAATACTTATCTAATAAAATTAATTAAGATATAAAAAAGAAGTTGGAAACCATCACAAAGACATAGAGACAAGCATATATATGAAGCAATTTTTTTTTATTGAAAAATATGATGCATGAGAGTCTCATGTGCTTCTCCAACTTTTGCCCATCAAATATCAGACACTATTGTTTCCTCATCTAAATAAGAAATATTCTTTTTTTTCGATCAAAAGAATAAGAAATAGTTATTTAAATTTGTGCCATGTTCAAAATAGATACCAACATTTAAAAAAATATGTTTTTATGTAGTGTATATACATATAGTTTGACTTTAAATTAGCCAAATAATATTACACTCTATACTATTACTAGACAGACGATAGTGTACGGTGTACCTATTGATTCATAATTTGACTTTAAATTGTGGTTGGAAATCGAATGATATATATATATTTTTAAGTATCGTCTTAATCTTGACACGTTGTTTTCATCAATGGTCTATATAATTAAAAAAAAACATAAAAGATGTTGACCCAAAAATCTGGGATATTAATTATTAACAAAGGTGCATTGATCGATGATATCGAAATAATCAGATAATATCTCAGACGATCACTTAACTATGATTTTTTCCACAAAAAAGTTACTTAACTTTAATTTTAATTTTAACTCAAAATTCATTTAATTAGTATGAGTTATTTTCACATAAATTCACTTCATTTTAATTTTTGACTTAAAAATTGTTCAAGAAAGAATTTTTGTTACGTAAAATTATCCAGTTTTGATTTTTAATTTAGAAGTTATTCAACTAAGATAGTATTCATTGATTGTTAACACAATACATATCTAGTTGGTTGCGTAAAAATAATGACATATAGATAAAACTTATGTACATACTGCTTGATTGATTGGTGATAGTAATTAATAATACGTGAATTATTATTTTAAGAAATCTCATTAATTCTTATTTATGAAATTATTTTACGCGTGCGAGGGATGCCATATAAGAATGTCATTTTCAAGTAATTCATATGTAATATGAGTAATCTCTTTATTACTCGGTACGTAGCAATCCTCTCGTTATCGATCGATCAATCACGGCATTATGATAAATAATTAAATAACTAATATATGAACCAAACGAGGCAATAATTGAATCGTCAACGTCAAGCAGAAATAGCTGCGGTCATAAATACAGATAGCAAATTTTCATTTGGCAGTATGAATGACTCATATATAGTTTCAGTTTTAAATTCTTACGTCTCAAAACACACATATACGTTGGTTTATGACTAGGAAATAAAGTTCCAATCATTTTTTCAGATTTTCCTATTACAATATGCTAAATATACTTATATTACTAGCTACGAAAATATTTTTAAAAATGACAAATAATGAAAGTTGTGGTGGATATTATTTCTTTCCTATATTCATGTGGTTGTAATGATAAGTTTAATTCCAAAGGAAAAGAAAACGACTCATAGGGGACAATATGCATGATGGTTACTATTTAAAAATAAATAAATCGCAAAAGCAGAATTTTCACCGAAAAAGATAATATATATAAGGAAAAATGCACAAATACCTCCTTAATTTATGTTCGAAATTTCAAAGACACACTTATACTATACTAAGATCCTATTACCCCTAAACTTATCTTATAAGTAATTTTCTACCCTTTTCGGGCTGCGTGGCACTAGCTTGAAAAAAAGTCAACCAACATTGAGCGCGCAAGATAGTGCCACGTAGGCCAAAAAAGGGTAAAAATTACTTTAAAAATAAGTTTAACTTCTTCTTCCGACGTTAAGAATTCTTCCAATAATTCCGAGCCTGATCTTTTCAAAAAAGTGCGTGCAGTACTTTTGTGTTTCCGAGCTAAAGTTCTAGCACAAGAAAGTCGAAATATATACTTTATTCGATATAAAGTCTTTTTTTGAAAGATCCACTATATTAATGAAAAAGATTTCTGAGATTTCGGGTATAAACAGATAAGTCTTTTTAAGTTTTGAGTGACTTATCCAAATTAATTAACGTTGGTCGAATGACCGTTTATCCACTTTAATCATACTTTTTTTTTTAATTTAGCAAGTCACTAAGCTTTGAACGATTTATCACTAGCTAGTTCTTTCTTTCTTTTAAAAAAAATAATAATCGTTGGAAGTAAATACGACTTAGCCACTTAGTTAATTTTTTTTTTTAGTTTGTTCGTACAAAGTTCTCCCATATATTAATATTCAAATTTACATTTTCATCATAAGAGAATTCACTTTTTTTTGGTTATTATATCTTTTTTGTGTGTGTTCATACAAAATATAATGAATATATATATATATATTCGATTAAGAGAATTCGAGTGAAGCCCTTATATCTCCGCCCCTAATTACAAAAAACCATATAAACAAATATCAACTAGTTCGGGTTAAAGTTTCAATGGCTGATATTACAGTCACATTAGATCCTTGTGATTGTTCAATAGTTTTTTGTCAATCATATATATGTGGCTTGACATGAAACATTTATACGTGGATAGATTGAAATAAATACATGAACTTGATTCATAGTATATATAGTACCCAAATATACGTCTCGTTCAATATTTGATTGGTTAATTAATTAATCACACAGAGAGAATATAATCTATCATTGTCACATATATATAATAAGGTCAAAATCATGGTAAAATTAAGAATTTGGAAAAGGTACGGAAGCCAATATTTTTAAATAATTGGTGCATGGGAGCGTTTTATAGTTTACCATGTGCTTCCTCTAACTTTGGCCCATAAATATGAATGCACACTCCATAATTATATCGTTAAGAAATAATTGTTTAGATCTGTCATGTTCACAGAGTACATACACTTAATACGTAAATCATACATGTTCTCTAAATTATTTTAATATTGTAAGCATAAATATAATACAACACATGATTTCTTGCTAAAGAGTTATAATGATACCTTAATTTTAACAAATCAAGAAGATTTTACAAGTATTGTATTAATTAGCCTTTTTTTATGCTCATTAAGGAAATAGTAAATACAAGTTATAGTTTACTAAATTATCTCGATTTAATAGAGAGACATTTTTTTCCTTTTAGATGTTATGCATACTAGTTAAAAACGATTATAACTTTAGTATTGAATTCCTATAGTGAAAATATATTTTAAGACCAAAAAAAAAAAAATTGAACTAAAATGAAAATGAAGAAAGCCAGAGAAGGAGTATTATTATCAACACTATCATTACATATCTATGTAAAATAATATAGTCAAGATCAGATTTGCAGAACATAATAAAACAAACAAACAAAAAATCCTAATAAATGATTTTATAAAGGGATGATGCACAAGTACCCCCTCAACCTATGCCCGAAATCTCAGAGACACACTCATACTATACTAAGGTCCTATTACCAACCTGAACTTATTTTATTAATAATTTTCTACCCCTTTTCGGCCTACGTGACACTATTTTGTGGGCCCAACGCTGGTTGACTCCCCCCCCAAAGATTGTGCCACGTAGACCAAAAAGAGATAGAAAATTACTTATAAAATAAGTTGAGGGGGTAATACGATCTTAGTAAAGTATAAGTATGTCTTTGAAATTTCGAACATAGGTTGAGGGGATACTTGTGCATTTTCCCTTTTATAATAAAGTATCAAGTTAATAAGGACATAAAGTAGGGATGGCAAATGAATGGGTTGATAAAATTTGAACAGATTAAAGATGGGTCAACATAAAACAAATAATAATTTCAACACGTTCATATTTAATACGAGTAACAATATATTGGGTAACAAATATGTTGAGTAAAATAATAATTTATCCATATTTTCATGAGGTTACAATTTCCATTTTAGTAATATCATAAATTTTGAATGAATAAATATTAAAAGCTTAATACATTTGATTAAGTCATAATTTACCCATATTTTATGAGTTAAACATGAAATCTCAACCCATATTTTGCCCATATAAAAAGTTGGTCGAATCCTATTAAATATGGATTCATTTTGTAGAAACTAAACATAGAACAGAGGGAATAACTAATAATTATTAAACTCTTTTTTTTTAATTTAATTTAGTAGCCCAAACACGATAATTTCCCCATACTAAATTGTTTTTTATTTTTGGGTAGCAATGCATTCTTCTCATCATATGGCATGTGCATGGTGGACTTTTGAAGATCAAGCACGTGATCATGTCTGCACCACATCACAGAAAATCGAAACAAATTAAGATGGTCTTTCTTACAAAAATAATCCTTATTGAATAGAAGAAAATGATCCTTATCGAACGAAATAAATAAAAGAAAATGATCCTTAGTTGATTTTTTTGTGTAAAAATGTTCTCTCAAAAGCTGAACAAAGTCTACCCTCTTTGCAAATGCACCCCCCCTATTCCAAATTACTATACAAAAAAGTGGTACCTGGCTGGTTAGGGGCTGGAATTATCATTATAGGGAATTTACTACGCAAGATAGTGCGTGATTTTAAAAGATATAAAGACTCTTACAATCTTCTAATTTTTGATGGTTAGAGAAGAAATAAGGAAGCAGTAGGATGTAACATCATAAACATACCACATTTATTTATCAAATATGAAGTTCACTTTCATCGTCCAAACCGAAAACATTTCGGTTCTATAGTATTTCCTCAAATCAAGTCTTTAGTATGTCGAACATTAAACTTTACATACGCTATTATAGCCACATTCATTCAACTCAGAAATGCAAAACAGAAAAAAGAGCACACATCGGTTCTACTGACCTGTAAACTACAATTAGGTAGGTAAAATTAGAAATCTCGTAATCCTATTCACCTGTTCCTCTCCCGTAGTTAGTAGCAATTTTGGACTTAAAATTACGCCAAAATTACACAATCAGACTAAGTTTTAACATCTCAAATTAAATTTAGGGGATCACCCAGCTGCTACTGCATCAGTTCTGGGGCTGGTATCAAGTAGTTGATGAAGCTTTGCTCCAGAGCTGTTGTTCTCATAAACTTCACCATCCTCGTTCGTTGTATCCGAGGAACCTGAGTTGTTCACTCGTGCTAGCAGGTTTACTGTGCCTACAGGTTGCAGTCTCTTATCATCAATCTTACCTAAACTTACTTCTTCTGTCTGTCCAAGCTGTTCATTTTTCAGTCTCTCCTGGTACAATCCAAAACGAGGATTAACATTCCAAACACAACCTATAGGGTAATGATTCAACAATAAAAAGAATCTGAAATGGGACAAGCTTATACCATTAAAGTGGCATTGTCTAGCTTCAGTTTCTCCGAGTTCTCCATTAATTTGTTAATCTCGGATCTGAGTGTCAAGTTCTCTCCTGTTAAAGCCTGAACTCGTATTGCCAATTCTTCAGCTTCAGCCTGAAGGGAGAGAGAAATAAGGAACAGTTTCGAGATTAGAATGGTAGTTAGCCATACTTAAACATCGGCTATGTAAATGTATCAATAACCATTGCTTCTATATGCCGTATGCACACTACCCTCTTACCTGTTTTCTCAATCTTGATCGCCTTGCAGATTCCCGATTAGACTGTTTCCTTTTCTCCCGCTTCAGCTCACGCTCATTCTGAACATAGTCACATATGGTAGGAATTAGATTCAGACGGGGAAAACATTCTCAGAAAATTCAGGAAGAATTGTACAGACATGTCGAGGACCGGAGGTCGCTGTGAAAAAATAAATAAATAAAATTTCACCTGGTACTTGTGCTATATACCTGTAACCAGGTTTCATTAGGCAGTGCAGGGCTGAGTGGTGAACCACCATTAGTTGGGCTAGATTTCATATGTGCACTAGCAGGATTTCTCATTTCCAAAGTTGTCATGCAAGGAGAAAGTACTGTTCCCGTCATTTTCGCTGCAACAACGATTGCCTTCTCAGCATCATCATTTACTTCCCCAGTAGGTTGAAATCTTTGTGAGTGGCTCTTATCATCACCAGCTGTTTAAAATCGAAGAACTGACAGATCAGAAAATGAAATCAAGCAAATTACTTTGTATATAAATCCAGAAAAGATAACAGTGATAAAAAGAAGTTCAATATCTATAGCGCAATGTGGAAAAACAATGTTGATGAATACATAATAAGTTCCCCAACATAACAAACACATGTTAAAACCAGAAGTAGGTGAAAAGATCAAGAACAAAATGGTCCAGAAGTTTGATCAATATCAATCCCAGAGGTTAATCGCTGAATTCATCAAAGCTACAAACCTTTAATCAAGAATGCCCTATGTCATTTTGCAATGTCATGTGACTAGATAAGTACTTTCTTTGCTTGATATATATGGAGTAGTCAAAAGCCTCCATAAAATACTCAAGCATGAAAAAATTGGAAATTGTAAAGAAATTTCCGGCTGATGCAGAGTTCTTTCACTATTTCTTCTTTCTCTTCTAAACTGTCAGTTGAATAAAGAACTGAGAAAGATCAAACTCTTACAGTTATCAGGAGTTGTCTCACAGCTCCTTTTCTTAGTTCTCTCACTGACCTAGAATACAAGAAGAAGAATATCAGTATCCAATGCTTCCATTCGATGCAAATGAGTCTACTAAATTGAGGTGCATAGATTTATCATCAGAAAAGAACAAACCCCAGCTCCGTTTGTGTCACTTCCATCAGTTGAACCTTCAGTTTCCCCACTGGTCACAACACGAAAACTGAAAGTTGGTTCAACTTGTTCAAGAAGAAAAATTACAAAATATTGTCCATATTGCAGACCAGAATTGGAAAATAATCAGATTCCGAGTAAGTTGAGCATTGTACTGAAATAACTGAACAAGACCTTTTCACTTTTTTTTTTTGCAATAGAAAATGATCTTTGATTTCCTTTTGCATGACACAAATGATCTTTAATACAAATGATAACTAACAGACCTTTGAGAATGTCCATTGTCTGTTCCACCCTCAACATTGTCAGTGCTGCCATTTCCAAGTGACATTGCCAGCCCCTCAAATTCCTTCAGTTTAGACATCAATCCTCTATCAGAATTTCCCGAGGACTTCGCAGACGCATCTAAACTCAAAGAAGCACCATCCTACACAATGTAGAGTGATCTAGCCTTTATTAATTCATACAGTTAACAGCAATAGATCAGAAAGTAACACCATTCTGGAAACAATTAAGTTCAAATACACTGAAAGGCTTTAAGAAAAAACTGGCATACATACCATGGCTTGGCTGACAACAGGAGATGTCGCCATCACATGACCTGGAGGATGAGATCCCTGAAATTATTTTCAAAAATAAAACAAACAAAATACAATCAGTAAGAGAGCCAATACATTCTCAAAAGTGTACATTATGCAGATATGCAGTCCTATGCTGAATACATGCATTGTCAAAGAAGAAGTAATCTCAAGTACAAATGTAACACTTGAAAGGAGTAGAACCAAAAAATCCCATTTTCCCCACAGACAAAGGGAACAAGAAAAGGTGGTTCAAATGTTTATACAAAAACTTCAATAAATAATGAACACGAAGTCAGATGCCCAATGTGTTAATTTTCAGCTGACTAACAGAACCAAAATGAGATCCTATTGTATCCTCATCTTAAGGAACATAGATAATACCCCAACTTCCGTACAAAATGAGTAGTGTACTTATAATGACACAGATACTGGACAAGATTATTATTCAATTTCAAGGGTAATTCCTGAATCAGTTAGTTATACCACTGTTAAAACTGTTTAGTTTGTCCTACAAGTTACTTGTCCACAGTTCATACAAGAAACCAATCCATCCAAGTAGCTAGTCAATGCCCTGAAGTCTTAACGAAATCTGATATCATATCTAACTTCTAAGTGTCAGGTTCAGCAACATTGACACATATCAGTGCTCTGACTATGGTTCCACCAGAGCCCTGATCACAAACTCCAGGTTGAAGAACTTCGCCAAAAATAATAGAAATCAAGGAGCATTTGTGACATTTAATATAACATGGAAATAGAACTCTGGGAAAACAAACTCACAATTGGAACTCCAGGATGTGCATAAACCCCACCATGAGCATATATTGCTGCATAAGGGGTACCATAAGGTGGTACCATAGGCTGTGGGAGTAAAGGACCAAACTTAGTCATGAAGTACTTGAAGTTCGAGGATAAGTTACCTTGCAAAGCAATTAGTATACTTCAACAACTAAAACAGAAACATTTCTGCCGAGTAAATACCTGTGGCCCCCACATATAAGGGTGAGGGGTATGACCAGGTGCAACTGCTGAATTGAAATATGCAGGAACAGCTACTCGAGGACCATAATATGCCTGAAACGTTAACTAGTTAAACCCTTGCAATAATTCATAAGACATTACAACTTTTAATATTTATATTAAACTATTTAAAAAATTATTAACCTGCATGGCTGCCCAATCTGGATAGACATGGCGATTGCTCTGGTCCTGTCAATGTGAATATAAAAGACTAGTCAGAGATGAAATTCTAAAACAGTTCACAACATATAAAAGGAATAGGATACTATACATCTTGTATATGCACAAATGTAGGCTAAACTGACTTATATGGAGCCAAAGACCGTATCAATCACGGGTCAAGAAAGTCAAATGCCTCACAGGCACTAAACCAATAATCATTATCAAATTTGCTTACCGCTGCAGGCGAGGATGGCTTCTCAAGCTTACAGGATTTCCCATCCTCACTATTTCCCATGTAATAGGAACCAAGTCGATGTCGTACTAAATTAGAGGTGCAATCAGAATTTCCTTTTATAGTCACTGATAAGAGTGTTGTCCCAACTAGCTTCAGAAAAGCAACCCTGTCATAGAGTGAGAAACAGATTTCACAACATGCACAGACCACACAGTAATCCATACTTTCTTCAAAAATATATTAAGGTATAGAGAATGTGTACCAGAATACTGGGAAAACATACGACTCTCCGAATTTTCTCTAATCCATTGCAAGTTATAACAGTAAAAAAAATATAATATACCAGTAAAAAGAACCCAACACAGCAAACATATTCACAGCATCATCATCAGAAACCAGTATAGCAACAGAAATTGGCGTGAAGTTATTCAAAGATGGACAGACTTGAGTACTCATGCCATGATACACATCTGGAGACTGGACTGAACTTATTGCCTGCTGGCATACTAGTTACTATATTTTATTGCAGATCAGTCTTCACATGTGAATCTTATCCCATGCCATGTGAGGTAACAGAGATGGCTTTCTATGACCATAACAACAACAAAAAACATACCCAATAGGGCCTGGGAGGCTAGAACCTATGCAGATTTTACCACTGCCTTTAGTGGGGTAGAGAGGTGGTTTTCGAAAGACCGTCAACCCAAAAGAAGTGTAATCAACGCAAGGTGGAAAGAGAAATATTGATAGCAGAATAACAATATAAACAAAGCAAACTAGGTAACACATAATAGTAAAAAGGAAGGATAAGATGATATACTGAAACTAACTCCCTGCCTCTCCACGAAAACGAGAAGTAGAAAGTTTAAATAAGCAGCAGTACAAGATATCCTATGAAATTAGCTGATTGTGTTATCATAGGCCTAAATTGACGAGTCTATGAGAAAAATTGTGCTCCAGATTCTGGAACCTAAAATACAACTTACTATTATCTTGTGAAATTAGTCCTATTGGATATTAAACACATTATTACAGTTTCCCACTCGACCTTTTAAATTTCAACTATTTTTACCTCACAAAACACCATTCGCAAATTATGTATGTAGTGATGTTGTTGCCCATAATTAATACTTTTAACACCTTACTCATCTGTCAGCTGGTGTTCCTGAGTTCATTCGAGCTTGAAATTATATGCAGGATTAATTCATATACACGTGATAGTGTAAACTTCTTTGACTTAAAAACTAACTACATAAATTTTTTATACAACCCACTGATTGAAAAAGGAAAGGATCAACTACAACATGTTAAACCACACTACTAGATAGTGTAAAAATATTGATAACTTAAGTTCTTCTTGATGTAGCAGCTTATATAGCCATAACTGTAAATACCTCTGACATTCTTTTCTCCAATTATAAATCCATATCAGTTTACCAAGTTCAATGTTAGCCAGATCCGTCAATTCTGTTCCACTTAATCCTTCTTGATTGGCCACATAAATTGTGGCAATGGAAAGTGCAATCATTATCAAACAAAAGAAAAGATGAAATCTTTATCATGTTCATATCCAAAGGCCACTCTTCTCTTTCCCCCAACCAAAGATATAATTCTAACCTCTCAATACCCTTAGATGATTTCCTCCATGTAGCATAAGGCCTCATCCCAGAGCCAGGCAAAAACACAAGACAAAAAAGAAGTAATTTTCTTGGTAAATTAACTTGCTTTCAAACTCCAAACAGGATCTACACCCCATAATCTCAGCTCAATACCACAATACAGCAGGATATACTCATTGTGTTGCTAAGTTCACACACATCCCATAACCCGAGGAACAAGAAGAAAGGTAAGGGGCACATTAGTAATTTCACAGTCCCCACCTAGGAAACCAAGTAAAGACGCAAACATAACAAAAGATGGAATCTACAGGAAAATTTATGATTTAATGACAGATTTATCCCCGTCAGACCAACCAAATCACAACCAGTAACCATCACATAAAAAAGTAGGTGGAATTCCAAATTACGTTTCGAAATTCAACCATTCCCCCATAACAACTCTAAATTCAATATTCTCTTAAACTCGGAACTCAATTTTTTTCACAACTACACTCTTTTTCCTTCTCCTCCCGTTTTTCCAGTTACAACTATATCTCAACTCAACTTTTTTCTTATGAACCCCAAAATTAACAACTGTCAAAAGATACTGCACAGAAAATTCAGGAGATTTTACAGAGATCAAACTCTATTCAATTTCAAAAAACTCAAAAAAAAAAATAGTGATAAAGAGAAATTTAACATACCTTCAAAAAACTGTAGAAGAGAGTAGCAGAAAGAGAGAGGCAAATTTTAGTAGTGAAAAGTTTCAGTGTTTGTGCATTCTCTGTGTATGTTTTCTCTCTCTAAAAGGAACTTCAAAAAAAGAACAGAGAAAGGGCGTGTGGCGTGAGCAAAAGATAGTAGAGAGAGAAACTGAAAGGGGGAAGAAAGAGGAGGAGCGCCAAGGCAACATTCCACGTCATGCAACACGTGTCCGTACTTTAAATAAACCTTATATACATATTTTATATATACGGTATACCTGGATCGTATACATACGGCCTCTGTTACATCATACGTGGCATCTCAACCCAAAATTGAAAAGGAACCATAAGTTCAAACTTACAAGTTAGAAATACAACGTATTGTTTTAGTTGATCATAGAAACTTATAAAAAAAAAAATTACTGACTATCTGAATTTTTATTTTATAGGTCAAGTACACAGAAATTACAGTTCATTTTAAGTTAATATTATTAATACCAAATAAAAATAACTTTAAATATATTTTTTGGAATTTGTACGATATTTTATTAAGCTAATAATTTATATTTCCTTCTAAGACCAAAAAAGGAACTCCTAAATGCGTTTTGAATAGTTTCAATTATTTTTTTTCGAACACTGGATAAAGGGAACCCTGTTCGAATAAGATCACTCACTTATTTAATCAATTCGTATTATTAACCAGCTTGTGATTTATAAAGTCCTGTTTAATTGTTGAAAATAATTCTCTTAACATATTCATTACTCGTATATAACTTGACTAATGTGTTTTCCCCTATATTTCTTTTCAGTACGAGGATCTTTAATATAGCTATAAAATATGTCCAAATAACAATTGGGACCTATGATAATAGTAATAATGATAGTGAATTAATTAACAAAGACAAAAAAATGTATTCTCAATTAATTCCAACTTATTTTTCCCTCTCCATTATGTCATGGTTTTTGCTAAGTTTGTATACTTCAATTTTTTACCAAATGGATGCTTAAATTATTCTGAGAATATAGAAATAGACTATCTGATATTTAGATAGAATGAACATTAACTCATAAAGATTTAGGGTTTGCACAATATAATAAACTGAATACAAATATTAAACATTGTGTTGTTGTAGTTTTGTTTTTTTTTAATTGTAGTTTAAATTCATCATTACAAAAGATTATTATTTAATGATTGATTAATTTAGCTTGATTTCGTTGTTATCTTAATATTTTCTTCTCATTCTATTTTTATTTATTATTTAATAATCATATTTTATCTTTAATTTTATGTTATCTTTTCATAGTAGCGCTAGATGAATTATGTTTTTGAGGTTCTTCCTTTAAATTATGGATATATGATATTATATAACGTGGGAGAACGATACAGTTTACCTAAATTTTATGTCCATTAAAACAACACAATGATACATTATGAAATAATACGTAATAACCATCCAACCAGAGTGTTAGGAGACGTTTGGTATTCGAGAATGTGATAAATAAAATTATTACAACTCAATAGTAAAACTGCTTCGCGCTTAATAATATATCTTGCTATCTGTGATTCAAATTTAATCCGAATCTAATATTCTAAGAGAAAAAAATATTACTCCTTCCGTTTAAAATAGAACGACATCCTTTTCTTTTTAGTCCGTTTAAAAAGGAAATATTTTTTTTTCTAATAACATTTTAGTTTCAACTTTTTACGTGTAATGTTTAAGGTCACTAGATTAAAGAATAATTTTGTACATTTAAAATGACATTAATTTAGGATCATAGAATTTAAAAATTATCTATTTTATTAAGCTACGTGTTAAATTTTAAATTAAGTCTTTTTTTATAAACGAAGTGAATAGAAAAAAAAATGGCAAGAGAAAGGAAGGATAAGCTGGCGCATCGGTTATTGTGTATTATTATTAAATTATTAGATAATACGTGTCGAGTAATTAGTCGATTCACGCGTCGCTGGCGTGGATTGGCCAACTAATACCACCAGTCATGTGGCTGACGTGCTCCTTTTTATCGCCAAATTAATTTAATCCCACATTTTATAATTATGCAAAAGAAGATTTAATCAAATTGGATACCTCATTTCAAGTCCGTCAAGCTAATAATTTTAATTTTTTTTACGACAAGAGAAACCGCAGCTGCTATTTTTTAGGATGCGGATAAAATTCTGCTCCTATGCAATAACACGCAAATCACATAGAAGAGATAACCCGCATCAGGCATGTCTGGCGAGACGAGCTCGACCAAGAAGGCAAATCTCTTGCTTTCGCCGGTAAAGAATTTTGAACTTGAGACTTCCAACATGAAAGTCCCAAACTCATATTTTCTCCATTTTTATTTAATTTATTCGATTTTAATCTTATACATCTATTAAATAAATAATTGTTATTATAATTAATTAAAATTTTATTTTTATTAATTTATTCATCATAGAGATTTTATATTTTAAATAAATAAAATATAATATCTTTCTTGATTTATCTAAATAACAAGTAAATGGTAACGAATACTAGATATTTTCGATTATGTTCACTTTTTAACTATTCCAATTTTTAAAAGCGATTCATAAATGTAAAGTCAAAGTTGGCCTTTCTCCCGTCGTTTTTTCCAACTCTCTTATTATTATCAAAATTGAAAGAAGACGACACAAAAGGAGAAAAAAAAAAGAGAAGGAAATGATCCTTTGTGCCTATTAACAAGTTATAAATTAAATGGAAGAATACTTTTATAGTTATAAATTTGTGTTTGATGTATTTGAGTTAATATCTTTTTAAAAAGCATTCTATTTTTATGAAATAATAATAAAATTTATATAAATCGTGTCCTATTAAATTTGTGTTTTTATCTATTTTATAAATTTTTTTATTTCAATATTTTTTGATATATTTAAAGTCGTACAACTAAAATACGTTTTAAAATATTTGATGTATTTTTAATTTAAAATTATATTTTTATAATATTTATTTTTTAAAACTTTGTGTCAAATCAATAGGAAATTTACTACAATTTAATTTGCAATCTCATGAATTTGATGTTCTAATGATTTTGTTATCCGTTCTAAGTCATATCCATACAAACATGAATATGAAAAAGAAAATATATGGCAAATTTAATAAGTTCGTTGGGTTTATTAGTGAAGAATTGTTAGAGGCTTAATAATGGAATATATTATAGAAATGTACGTCTGAATTTCCTATGCGACGGCCATAAAATGACAAACTACTTTATATAACAACTTTTTGCTCCTTTAGAGTAATAGTGTTGTAAAGATACTCCAACTCATAAAACCATAAATGAAATTGTATTTGAACCTTCTGTCAAATTATCAGTCGTGATAACAATAAAAAGGTCAAATATATAAATAAATTTATTAATTTTTTTTAGATGTTATATTATTTTTCTATTTAATCATCGAATTACTTATACAATTTTTTCTTAAAATATTGCTTTGACGTGAAATTGGATTTTGTGAGTGTATTAATAGAGAATATATATATTGTTTCAAAACTCATTAGTTTAATTAATAATGAAAAAGTTTGAAAATAATTTTTAAATTAACGTAATTGATTAATTTTTAAGACTATTTTTATAATGTTGTTCAAATGTCACACTTAATTAGCTAGTATAGAAATTAGTTATTAATTAATATTGATAAATTTGACAATAATTAATAAGCGTAAAAATGAAAAGTTATGCCTAATTTATATCGTAATCTTGTTTTCTTTAAAGATTTGAAACACCTTAATAATTCAATTAATTTGAAATAGAGAAAGTAACTAAAAGTATCACTAAAAATAGAACAAACGAAACACTATTAAATAGGAAAACTCTATTTTTTTTCCTCTATAAATGTGAAACATCTAATAATGTTTAGATATATATTTTCATGTTTTAATTTATGTAATTTATTTTTATTTTTTAAAAAAATATTACATATCTTAATTTTTTTTTTCTTTTTAAATATTACGTCGAGTTAAATAATATCATATAAAATAAGACAAAAAAATAATATATTATTTTTGGCCCACCAGCGCACTTAATAAGAAAAAATCGTGACCGTTGATTATGGGATTCTGAAATCTAAACATCATGTAGATTTCCTAGTCATCTCAAAAAGGTGACCCACGCGTTAGGCTAGGGCTACTTTCAAAATTCAATCAAAATGTGGGCTCCATTTTGATTTCCCTAACTCCCCACCTTTCTTTTTGGAAAACCTATTATTCTTCTTTGCCAAAATCAAAGTGAACTTTTAATTTAATATAAAGTTTAAATTTATTTTTTTTAATTTTAAGGTCTTAATAAAAAAGCTAAAAGTAAAATTTTGCTAAAAAAAAAGGAAAAGGTCATTTTCTTAATCAAATTGAAATTGAAAGAAGATTATTTATTTTTCAAACGGATAGAACAAATTATTCATATATTTTTAAATAGTCACACTTGTTAAATTTTTTTTTTGTTGAAATAATGAGTTTATTATTTTATTCCTGTTTATTATGAACTAGTTGAATTAAAAAAATCAGGTTTTCAAGAAATCATATTTTTTTCAAAAGTAATTAATTAAGCGTTTAATAAGTTAAATTATTTTGACATTTGTTGATTTGGTCAAAATAGCCGGTAATTAGAAATAACTAAAAAATAAAAATGAATAATTCGGCACACGAAGATTATATCTCAGTGATGAAATATGTACATAAATGATATAATAATTCATATCAGAATAATTAGCTTTGAGATAATTTATTTTCACTTAAACAACCTTTTAAGTGTTCTGATGAGGTGGTAAAGATTTTTTTATTTTCAATTAAAATTTGAAAAAGTCATCTTTAATGATTTACTATTTTATGTGTGATTTTTTTTTTTTGGATGATACTTAACCTATTACACCATTGTTGATTTAACAGCACAATTCATAAGTCAAGGAGCTCCGGAAACTCATGCCCCACCAATTTTGAGCTTGTTTTTTTGCATATAAATATTATCCGTTTCAAAATAATATGCTGTAATATTTTTTTATATTTTTTTTGTGCTGTTTGAAAATAAATAGGTTTCAAAGTATCTATGATGTCTTTAAATTTTATAGTTATTTAATCGAAAGAAATTTATATGCAACTTGCAAGAAACTGCTAAAGATCTTCATCTTTTTCAAGATATTGATTAAAAATAAGTTATACTTATAAATATACA